TGACTAGGAATTGTATGTAATTATCAAACCTCGAAAGTTATAGAACTAAAAAAATTAATTTTTAGCGTTTAAATATGCACATAAAAACACTAACATAAGCGCTATAGATAGCACCAAAAATTGGAAAATATGCAAAATAAAATTTTGAACAAATTTAATTTATTTAACGTAAAATTTAAGATATATTTAATTTTACAATTTTTTAATGTTTTTCATAGAATATGGTAGTAAGTATATAAGAACTAGGTACTTAGTTCGGCTCTGGAACATTTCCCATAAACATAAAATTATAAAACCCTAAGTATTGTTTTATAATCATTTATTTATTTATTTATCTTGAGAATTACATTGAATTATAAAATGTTTTCTTATATTTTCGAATTTGAATGATCTACGGTTATTTAAAAGTAAAGTTTTGTAAGCTGAGAAAACCCGCTCTACGTCGACAGAGGTCACAGGATGTTTCTTCACCAGTTAAAAATTTTGATATTTTTATCAATGCTGAGAAACCACGACTTTTTTCCAGTACCTGATAGAACTTTTTTTTAACAGTTTTTTCATTTGGATCACATAGTATTTCAAAAGATTTTTGAATATCTTGAACTATTTTAATCAGATCCGATAATGATACATATTGTTGTTGTAATTTTTCAATAGACGAGATTAATTTGACAAAGTTTGATTTCATATACGTTAAGTTGTTTTCTATTCCAGGTTTTATGATGTTGTCTTGAACATCTTTAATACTAACTGTATCATTTCTATCTAACATGAAAATAACACGTCTTACCTATTATTCCAAAATTCTCACAATAATAAACTGCTGCATTAATCCAGCTTGCCCAACGGGTGAGAATTGGCTCTGGAGGTAAAGTAAGGTTTGAAGCTTCCGTTTTAAATAAAAATAAACGACTTGGGGCTTTTCTAAATATTTTTTTTAAACATGAATCACACAAATTTTTGTTAAATGATGATTTTCTAGTAGTAGTACTTGTCAATAACTGTTGTTGTTTTCGATTTATTTGATGTTCATATCGGACAAGGTTTTTTATATTTTTGTCACTTTTTAAATTTTGCGATACGTTAAACTTTTTGTCTGAATCTACTTTAATTTCACAAACTTTACAAAATAATACACATGAATCAATTGAAAAAATATTAGAACCAAATTCATTTATATAAGTTTGGAGACGATTTAATAAACTTTGTTTTACCTTAGGCATTTTTAAATCAATATAAAAACACTAAAAACACGAAAGTATATACAACAGTTCACAATCAATCGAACAAACGACACATCTAAATGACGGCGGAACACTAAAATAAAATTACCGTGTTCAGTCATTAGTACATAGTTAAAACGACAGCACAATACAACGAATCCGATGATAGTGCGATCGTATGATGTAACCGACACGAATTTAAAAATAAACAATTTATTGGAAACGAACGGAATAATTATTGTCCGATTTAATCGACAATAATAACGGTTTAATTAGGCCACTTATTTTGGATGCGTACCATCTTGAAATAAAACAATTTGCTTTCGTTCACATATTCGTAGGCGGCTGTTTGATAGGTGGTAGTTTAGTTTTTCAACAATAGGTGTTTATTTCCTTTATTATCTAAAAATATACCCATAAATAGCATTTATAATTCCAAATTAGCAAAATAGTTCCTATAATATGTATTTATGTGAAAATATACCAAAAAATAGCACTAAAAACCTTAAATTAGCAAAATAGCAGTAAAAACCGTAAATATGCAAAAAATAATAAAATAAAATTTCGTGTATGACATCAGAAAAGTGTGAAACATATTTCTATCTTACTTTGAATGCTCTAGGACGAACCAAAAAAAATATACATTTGCTAGAACTTCCGAGCCCTGGTTAATTACCTAGCCATTTTTAAAGGAGTTTATATTATTTATATTTTTGCATATATTTCCTATGTTTTATGTAATAGACATTTTATAAAATGACGAACAAAATATTGGCTACGTGCAGAATAGGAAAATCCATTTATTTTTTAACATAATTATGCTAAACAACTGAACCCAGAGCCGTGTCAAACATTTCAGCGCCCCGGAGCAAAATTTTTTCTACGGGGCCACTGAGCACAGGTAGCATATTAAGTGCAGATAAGGGCGCCCCCTTACTTTTAAAAAACTATGGCTCCCGAGGACAATTGCCCCCCCCGTCCCCCCCCCCCCCTCCTTAACACGGCCCTGACTGAACCAAAGATAATTTATTTTAATAGCACAAAAAGATAATCTTATTAATTAAGAAATAACCAATTATTACGGATAATATGCATCCATGAAAATGAATAATTTAAGCAACGTCGCTCTTTTATTTTTCGGTTTTCTACTTAGCATTAACAAAATTTTTTATTAATTGATTATATCGTGCATCAGTTTAAATTACACAGTTTTTATATCAAATTGTCGCTTTAATAACTCACTATTGAATCGATGTTTCATATCGCATATTTGATTAGCCACGAATGACATTTTATGGGAGATTGAAATGTGAAGTTTACAAATAAAGAGCGTACAGCTGTAAATAATTATATCGACATTAATATCAACAACGGCCGAACCCTATCATAACTTTTCGATATTACATTATCAATGTCGATAAAACCTATTAACTTTACATTGTTTGGCATTTCATATGATGTCTAGGTCGTTTAAATAATTTCATAGATTGCCGAATATGTTTGGTAGGTATTACATTAAATTCCTAGTAATCGTATAAAATGGTTATATCCGCACTCATTGCTACTAACATATATAAATTGTAAATAACAATTAAATAATGATATAAGATACACCGGTGTTACGATAGGTACCGGGTTTTTGGGTTGTATTACAACTATAGTATAATATAAGATATTGTTTCCAATATTAGTTTTCAATGTGTGTTTATTCCTAACTAATTCAAAACTCAAAAATTTTTTTTAAGTTTAAGGATTTTATTATTATTGAACATAAGTTAGAACAATGTGTCAATATAATGTATAAGGAATTTTGTTTTCAATTCTCAAGATATTTTACCTTTCCAAAATTATATTATCAACATAGTACGACTAATTGTTAAGAAGACATAAAGATTTCAAATACATTTAAATAGCACAAAAAAATTCAAAATCTTTTTAAAGTTATATTAGTATTAAATGAAAATGTAAAATTTCTTCGGTTATAATTTCTTGTGTTACGACCAAAAGAGGGATTCGAACACTAATTGTCAAACACCATTATCCCGTAAATGTTGCCGGTTTTTTGTAATTTTTTGTCAGTTTTCATACAATTTAAAAAAAAAACCGTTGAGGAATTCAAAAAATTATGCTCCCTATGACTTGGCAAAATGGTCTATCAGAAACAATCCCTTATTTTGATGATCGAAGTAAATGTCATTCTGAGCAAAGCCGTGCAGAAAAAAAAATACACACAAACCATGGTAAAACCACTACATTCTTTGTGCATAACACAGAATCTACGGTACTTAATAATAGTATTCCTTCATTATATTTCATTATAAAGTGTTCGGTTTACATAATAATACTCTTTTTGTCTTTTTGAGTATTTTTGCGAGCATGGTAGTTTATTTTACTGCTTTAAAATGTTTACAGACGTTACTAACAAATGCATAACATACCAGTTTACGATTATGACACATTCGACCAAACGGCCTTCACAAAATCTGAAATATGACCCACTCTCGTGCACATCCACCCACTACCATTGTCCTGTCAACTCTCCAAGGAATTACTTGTTAAAGAACGCGCACTCGGTCTCGAAGTACGTAATGAACGAGAGACGTTACCATCTCGGTTCTTAAGATATTAGTCTGTGACGATTATAAAAAATTATCGCTATAATACGTCTTCAGAGTAGTTATTAAGCGGTCGAGCAATCTTCGAAGGAAAAAAACTATCCATTTTTATTGTACCTACACAAATTTGATGATAATAAGTTTGTAGCTATACTCTAAAAGTGCGGCCGGTAAGCTGGTCGTGCAAGTGAGTACACGGACGACTTCCAGCATGAGCTATTTCGAACCGTAAACACCGTCACCGCGTCGTCCCGAGTTACCCGAAAAGTGAATTATAACGCTAACGCTTATCTTACGTGTTTCCGTGCAGCAAGGTTCAAAACATGTATATTGTAATTTTATTTAGATATTTGGTTAAAAATAAGACGGAAAAAGATTTAATCTTCTTTTATTAAAATTAATATCATATTTTCATATGATATTATGATATGAAATTAAAATCAGTCAATGATGAATTGGAGCTGAAGTCATTCTTGACTGAAAATATTTATGTTGGTATTAAAAATGAATAAGTATTTTAAACATTCGTAAAACATTGAAGAAATTTCGGAGAGGGGGGGAATGGTCCAGTCACCCTGGACCCTCCCCCCCTGAGGTACGGCATTGCCGCGCAGGTACGGGAGGAACGGTTCGCGAGTACACGGCGAGGGTCAAAAATGTTTTACCAATCCTTCCGACTCACCGGAAACGACATTATCACAAAACCAAATCCTAAACGTGTTTCCAGTATGAAAAAAACAATTAATGATTTCGTACGGGTCGGTGGAAACGACGGCCGGCGGAAAACGATCGCCTGTAGGACGGTGTAGCGAAACGCGTCATCGGGATCGAAGGCGGAAAAACGTAATCGGGGAACGCATCGGAGTTCCGAGAACGTTCCGTGCACTCGCGTATTTCGCATCGGTACGGTGCGCTGGCTCGCGAGGGGGGGGGGGGGGTGGTTCGGTATCGTCGGGTCACACACGCGTGTCTTTATCGAAGGTCTCGTTGCGCGTTCACGTTACGCAACTCGAACGGTTATGTAACCGCGGTCAAACGTCGGCGGTGCATAATAACGACGGTCGTCGGAGTTTGCCCCCCCCCTCCTACGCGGCATCGGTGTCCGCGCGACAACAACAACAACGTAAACGTTACAGTCCGTCCGTCCGTTCGTTTTCGCCCCCGTCGCCGTTGTTGTGCCGTCGAGGCGGTAAACGGATACGATCGCGCCCGGACTCTGGTCCGCGGTAAGCGGTAAGCGCTGACGAGAAATAGTCCCCGCTCCGCTCGGGCCAACCGACATCCCGCACTCGCGGTGTCGCACCGAGTCCGCGCCCGGCGGTGTTCTCCGCACGTTTTCGAACACTGTTATCCGTAAGTATTTTATTTGGTGTTTATTTTTTTTTTTTTCGCACACCATCCCGAACACCCATCCGATCGATCTTATCGGAATAATCGTAGAAATAACATGGACGTTGCGTTTCTGTGTTGGATAAAACAAAAAAAAATATTTTTTTTAAAAAAATTATCATTCCAACGCTCGTTTAGCGCTTCGAACACTTCAACCAGTGGCGTAGTTACTGATGAGGGGGATGTAAGGGATTCCCACCCTCCCCAGATTTTTTTTTTTTAACGATATTTAATTATTATTTATTAACATTCACATATTATATGATAGTAAAATCATATTTTCATTTTACCATGATTAGGTATATATTAAAAATTGAATGACAAAATGATTTTCATTAAATACGGGATATAATAATAATAGCACTTTAAATGTAATATTTTTATATAGAACATCGTATTAAGATATACTGAAAATATTATAAGTTGACTCTTAAGCGCACCCCCCCCCCCCAGAAAAAATTGTATCTACGCCACTGACTTCAACGTTACGTCGTCAACCACGTTCGGGAAATCATTTAGAAACACTTTTAAACGCTTTTATCTGCGATGGTATTTTACTGTCGTCGAATTAAGTGCATTTCAAGCTGTAACTAGTGGCTGCTGCGTATGCCCGTAGAAAAACTTTTCCATTCTGCGCATTACGAATACTTAAAAAATAAATTATGTATTTGGAACGCGCGTAACCGGAGTGTTTTCTGGAATATGTTTACAACGCATAACTTTGCGCATTATGCGTTAAACATACGCTGAAGAAAAACCGTTCGACCTCGTTATAAAACTACTTTCTATAATTGTTGATTTTATTATAAATCCATCTTGTCGGGGGGCGTCAGCTGTCACCCAGTTTTTCCCATAAATCATAATCGATGCATTTTGAGTAAAAGTTGTGTCAAATAGGAATAATAGTGTGAAACCTAAATAAGTTCTATAGATAACTAAAACTTTAAGATTCGTTATAATTGTCGGGGGAAAAGTAAACATTAACGGGTACGGGCAATATAATGAAAAGAATATAAAATACTAAAAGTATACTTAACATGTATTAGGCTAAGCACATGTACGACCGTTAGAAATGTTGAAAGTTAAACTTCCAAGTTAAAAGTTAAAATATTATCAAATTTGATTATAGTAAGTACGAATAAAATCAAATCAACGATACTTTTTTTTTTATACTCGGCTAAATTTATTTTTAAAAATAATCAAAATATTTTTCTTTTTATAATTTAGAATAAATTGTATCTATTATATCAAAGCATTATCATAATGTATTAGGTATACGAATACATATTTTCTACCACTTGTCCATAATATGTATTTTTATATTCATTTAAGAACATTAAATACTCATAAATAATGTATACAGCCTAAAAGTGCTCCGCTTTTATCCATATCACGGTGTCATTACTAATAATCTATATAACTGCAATAATAAAGTCTACAATAGCAGCGAGTAAGCATAAACTGTAAAAGAAACGTTTATCACACCCACGCGCAACAGCCGGAAGTCGCAGAGAAGTCTTAAAAATCAACGGTCTCTTGTTTTTTACAAAACTTTGAATAACTTATTGGTTTTATATTATAAGAGTTTAACTTAGATATATTAAGTATTTTAAGAATGTTGGTTTGGAAAAAATCAAATTTAATTATTTTTTACATAATACATTATTATTACATATTATTTTAAATTTTACCCTAAATTATACACCAACCTTCGTCTACGTTGATCGTTATCAAAAAATAAAATACCCAAAAATATGTAGTATCTTAGTACCCTTCACCTCACGGTATGATTAATGAATGGCCAAACTTTCTCCTTTCCTCTCCTTCACCATCACCATCACCCCTCTTCCTCATTTCTGTCGGAATTTAAAGCTTTTTTTGCAATATTTCCCCCGTTTCTTCAATTATTAGAAACACTGTTGAAAAATTAAAAAAATTACATATCAAAAAATTATCCAATCACGTTAACTAACCCCTATTCTTAAAGTGGATTCGCATACAAACGCTTTATTTAATAGTTGTACGATTATAGTTCAATAATCTAAGAGCTCCAATAGGATAAAAAGAAAAAAAATCAGTTAACATCGATATGATATTCAAAAGTACAGTGTACAATTTTTTAAGAAAATTTTTGAAAATGTCGACCAGTTCAAAAGCCCTAGAACAAAATATAATTAATTCGAATATACTACTCTTGAAATCAGAACACTGTTTTAAAATGCATATCAGTACTTTATTGTTTCTGATTATTTTACTTAAGTCTACATTTTTGTTTTCCTTTTAGTGAAGTATAATGTATCTGAAATTCAATAGTTATATTAAATAAATTTTTTTATCCGTGAATTGGTTGATCGTAAACTATGAAAACTAAACATTAATATTTATATTTTTGCAAATATTGACATTTTAAAGTTGCAACTTATACATATATCTATTTAATAATATGAAACCTTTTCCAAAAATATTATTTTACAATTTTAACGTTAGTTCGAGTGTATTTTATTTGGTCGATATTTTTAACAGTTTTCAAAACAAATTGTGCACTTGAATTAACTAAACCAAAACGATAAAAATAAATACAAAATTAACCCGTTGCACTAATAGAGTTTGTTATCCGAAAGCTAAGTCGACTTAAAAACTCAAAGCATCAGAGAGCTTTCAAGGCGGGAAAATCGTCACGAAAATTATAATGGAATCGAAATTAACGTTTTAAATATTACATTTTCTGGGAATGAAATTCTATACAAGAACAATTCGGATTCTGTTAGATCATATTATTATATGATCTAATAAAATCGATCTATGTTTAAAATCTATTCATTTTTCGAGACACCGACAATCATCAATATTTTACTCGGAAATGGATTTTAAAAGATACAATTTTTTAGTATTTTTTTTTTTTTATATATAAAAAGTATTTTACGGAGTTTCATTTTATACAGCATCATACGGATCGGCAGTAAAATTGTTTATGACGTATGTGCAATAACACACGATCAACAATACCTATGGTATCGATAAAAGTTCGTTTCAAATATCACGGCACAGCAGCAGCACGTTCGTGTTTGTTTTTTGTAGGTATAAATAAGAGGAGCAGGTGGTGCGCCTCCATATTCCAACTTCCAACTTCTGGAAACGCTTTCGTTGTGTAACAATAATAACAATAATAATAACGATAAAAAGGACGGTACTCATAATTAATTCGTGTCGTTATTGTTATAATATAGTCTTTGATCGGGTAAAACCAAAATGATTTCACAATAACGTGAATTCAACGTTTTGTTTTCACATCGTAAACGTGTTGTTGCAGAGCATTTTAATTGTCTCAGTTGTTTAAGTTTCTGAACTAAAGTTTTTAGACTACACGTCTTATATCCCCGTTGTGTTCGTCTATCGTAGTTAAACAGTGCATGTAGTTACAATTGTTGATATTCAGTACATATTAAATATGCTCGTATAATTAAAATTGTACTTGGAAATTTAGTTTAATATTCGAAATACGTTTAGAAACCAGGGATTTGCCACGCTCGTAGAATGGGCTTTTCTAACTTTTTTCTTTTTAACATATACCAATTTTCTATGCCTACCGGTTTTCGTTGCAGACAGGAGTATGTATTGTGTCTGTCGGTCACTAAATAAATACTATTTAATTTAATTCTTCTAATGATGTATCAAATATAAAGTCATTCAATCCGACAAGTACGTGCAAACGATTTCCATTCCACGTATTCGAGCTATACGTATGTACAGGATTTAAAAATTATAAAATATTCTTCTAAAAGAAAACTTGACTTGCTTCACCCTATGTGTATTTGGTTCTGTCTCAAAGTGTTCAGAATAATTTAAAACATATACATTTTTCAAGTGCCGTTGTCGTTTTTAGTTACTTTATTTGTACTGTCGATGTTGTTATGTTTAAATATTATGCGACGCGCGTGACGGTCCACTTGAAATGTCGAAAACTCCTGTCGAGCAGACAAATAAGATGGTGTTTTCGAAGTAGGTAAATTGCAGGGGAATGCTATTCCATAGAAATAATATCGGGCAGAATCGATATACGAAGAAATGTAATTCTGTCGTTGAGCGTTACGACGTATATGCTGAATAAATCAATAATCGAGCTATTATTTCCCGAGTTTAGATTGGTGCGTTGGATTTTTAAACGTTAAACTCGCGAACAGCCGTTTTTTCGGTATGGAGACGATTTTCAATTCTCAGCAATTAATGCTTACGACGGTGATTATGGCGCGGTGAAAATGAACGTGATTGGGGTAAAAATATTCAGCTCGGGGAATAAAATCGTGTGCAGTACGACACACTTTGTGTAATACGAAATGTTAAGTACGTAGTACGAAACCAAAAAGCGTGTTGTGGTCCTATTCTCTACATCAGTGGTTTTCAACCTTTTTCGAATCGCGCCTCCCCCCCCCTCATTTTTTATTTATTTGTAATGCGACCTCTTCAAAAAAAAAATGTTGTTTTATTCATCAAAATTTGATTTAATTACCGATAGAATATTTACACGATAAACAATTTTGATTAATTTACACTAAAAATTTTTACAAAATAAATAATTTCCTTTGTTTTTTTTTTTTTTTTTAAATAATTTCATCCGTTATCTTTGGCGACGCCCAGGTCGAAAACCACTGCTCTATGTTATGGCATTTATTTTTAATTAAAATTTTTTTTTTTTTCCGTATTAAATTATCTTACATATTTTTGCAATTCCAAGATGTATCATCGGTAAAATCTAAAACACCAACCGTTTTAACCGTGTTACTCATTACCGTTAACGTTTTTAAAAGGGGATCACGACAAAATCTTCAAGTGTGCAGTACGGAAAACGATGATGGTTTAGCATGTGATTCGGCTGTCCGGGTGGTAACAGTAAAATGTTTACGCGCGCTGCGCGCACCGACACGGTTGACACGGTGATATTGTGTTCCACGGCGCTAGTGCGATCGGCGGCAATGCGCGCGTAATATCTAATTTATTGACAAAAGTTCCGTTGGAAATTTGCCGCAGCGCGCCTTCGCAGTACCGTTCGTTTTTCGCTTGTGCGCGCGTAATAGCACGTAGACCGCCGTCAAACGCGGACCTGTCAACATCGCGCGACTGTCTCCAACCGTCTACTACCGACGAAAACTACGATGACGGTTATCGCTACGACGACCGCGGTATAAAAAATATCGTTATTATTCTTCACATATTTTTTTTTTTTTTTTTTTATTCGATCCGCGTAAAGTTTTCGTCTAGCGTAGCCTTTGGGTCGCGCGGAACGATTTCACGTCGTGAACGGGCTCGAACGGTGATCCCCGTACTGGTTTCCAGTCCCGTTGAATCGACCGACACACGTGTGCTCAAATCAATCGCAGACGCAATCGGTGCTGCACACGAAGCGACATACACGCAATACGTCGGCGGTGCGGACCGCTGGTGTTTCCACAGTAAGATCTGCGTTCCGAAAACGGTCAAGTTTCCCGGAGAACATTTCAAACTCAACAGGTAGGCATTCTGTACTAATATTCGACTGGTATAACATTCACGACCGATTTAGTTATACTTTTTTTCAAACATTTCGTGTGTATACATATATATTATTATAATTCAATACGTTTGGCTTTTGCAACACCATAATTCGCACCATCATGGGTGGGGTATCGTTGTAATAAGCACCGACGCACCGTGTATGTGTACGAGTGTCAAGCTGACGTAAAAATGCATTACATTTGTCAATTTCAGTGATAATTTTTATCGAAATTAATAAAAAAAAAGTCGTACAATTGTATTGCATGTCATTGATTATGATGATTATACTTATGTTTAAATCAATAAGATTTAAGAGATTCATTAAAAAACAGTATTTATAGTGTTATTAATGTAACGAGTTATAATAATATGGTAAAAGTAATTATACTTAATAAAGTTGACAGTTTGCCTTCAAGTTTTACAAAATTATTGGGTTATCAATAATGATTCTGAAAACTAGAATTTTCATTTAATCACACATACTGCAGAATATAATTATTCGTTATAAAATTAAAACCTTAGAATGGTCATATTTTATTTATTTAAACCAGATTTTTTTTTTTAAATACGTATTTTTGCTTAAAATTAAATGTAGGTAGTTAATTTAAAAGAAAATTGCACTCATATAAAACAGACAAAATTAATCACTGTATAAAAATCTCTCGATATTATAGTTAAAAATCAGGATTTGGGAAATGACGTAGCCGATGCTATTTTAAAAACTTAGCTCTTGTATTGGACTGTAGATAATAAAAATGCATTTCCGTGCTCATTATTCACAAAATAAAGCTTGAAAAACATACGAGCACCGGCGCATATTACCAACGGTAGCGATACGCAAATACCTACCTTAAATAATTACATATATACTCGTATGTATTTGTACTATCGATAAAAGTTTTTCACCGACGCGTCCGGCGTATGATGGTGGGCCGAACATGGCGTCACAAAACACGTCATAAAAATGTTTTTTGTTAATCAAATGAAAAAAAAATCTAAAGTTTATGATAGTTGGTGATATTTATTGTGCAGTACTTGCTATGTCTGTACGGTCGAAATCATTATATTTCAACCATTGGTTTTAATTCTTTATAATTTTAATATTGTGTACAAATAAACGCTGAGTGTTCGTAAATTTCAAAATCAAATGCAAAATCTGTCTTGAAAATACTGCAGCGTACAGAAAATGAACACTTATTAATTTCTGGCATTTCGTGCGAACGCGAACGATCATTTTCAGAAACAATATTATTGGGATTTAAACGTTTTAAGATCGGGTCGGTTTTCGAACGAAGTACGCATAAATAATATTGTTTTCGTCGTCGTTGATTTCAATTTCAAGATTACAGACATATCTATCGCAAATCAAATAATGTTTGCCGACATTGTGAACGGGAACAAGAAAATATTTTCGAATAAACGAAATATTTATAAGCAGGTACACATGCAGCATTATTATCAATTGAATGCTGTTAATTGGACTGCGTTGATCACCATAAAGGATAATTGTTTGCAAACAATTGATCGCGTTCACATGATTGCATTATTTGCATACATGCGGTGGGTAGTCGACATCCAGCGAAATTAATATGATGTGAGTGCTCCGCGAAGAGCCGGAGTAAACCCACTGCCGTACCGCGCAAACAGCTGCAGTATGCGTAGAACATTTGCGCGCGCCGGCTGATTTATTGATAAAAGTTCGCTTGACTCGGGTTCGGGTTCGGTTATCCGCACTATTCGCCAGTGGCGCTCGTACACAGTAGTGTGTGTTCGTCGGAAACGCGTTTGTCGCCTTTGCAACGATGCGTGTTAGAGAACAACGTCAAAACTGATCTCGCGACGTACGCACGATCCTGATTTATTGATAAAAGTTCGTTTCGGGAAATCTCAACCGCTGTCAGTGGTAGTTTTTCACGTGTTATAATAATTATTCGCTTTTAACTAACAATAAGCTTTTCAACTCGAATCGTCTTAACTTACGTTTGAAAAGTGTTTCGTTTGGGCGCGCGTTCTTTTTGCCGATGCCGAACACCTATAGCGTCGCGTTCCAACAACAATACTGTTGTACCGACGGTAGGAAAATAGAATCGGAATTGAAATAAAGATGTACGATTGATTGTTGTGCGGTCTGCATTTATACAATTGCGCATCGACCAACTCCAGCGCCGTGCTCATATTTTTTTTTTTCAATATTTTTTCCAGAAAAAAGAACCATCAACGTCTTTCGATATCGTGGAACAAACTTATAATCGCATAGATGTAAGTACTATGTTACGCTATTGTTGAATATTTTTTAGGAATCAAAATAAAACGATAATAATTAATTATACATTACCGACTGCAACGGTACGACCACGTAATATAATGCACACGGGAAATAATAGAAACTAATACCGCGAACGTATCGTAATGTACGTAGTAATAATACGTAATAATTTGCCAAAGAGGATATGGGGTTTCTGGATCAAAATTAACCCGAGCCTCCCGAGACCAGATAATCAAAGTGTCCCACTATGACGATCAATTTGATTTCATTAAATCTAATATAATCAAAAATCCTTACCCCGTTTCAATTTTAACGTATAAGCTGTTAATAAAAAATTATTCAACATTTTCATAATTACTATTATTTCGTGTTACCCGAGTATAATATAATATAAATTAACGATCAATAAATATTTAATAAAACGTACTTTTGTTTCTTTTTTACGCCCATGCTTTAATATTTATTATACTTGAGCACCTTATGTGACGATTTAATGTCAACGAGTACCATTGTTTTCGTGAAAAGCGTGTAAATATTTTTAAAAAAATAATACGTTTATACGAGGAGCTTCTCGCACGGTTCTCCCTCCACACACACACAAACACCCGATGGGCTAGAAAATAACCTCTGAACCGGGTTGCGGTGTAGGACGACGTCCGAAAATATTATCGTGAAAAATATCGTACAGATGCGTTTCAGTTTTCGCGGTATGTCTTAAAACATGGGCCCCAAATTTACGTAAGTTTCATTATAATAATATCATGGTTTTTAATATTTTTCTTTTTACGAATAATTGAGTAGTAATTGAATAACCAATAACAACATAGATTGGGGTGGCACATTTAAAAAATATATCACTATGCGTCACAGTACATGCATTCAAAGGCTCCCCGGTGTACATCAGGGCCCCGCATATCCTAAGAACGGGTGCGCCCAGACTCGTATTTAGGGGGAGGCACGGGTAGGCACATGCCCGGGGACATCAAGTCTCAGGGGCGGTAAAATATTTTAGTGAAATCAATTTTAAAAATGATGTACCTAATGAAAAAAAAATTAAACAATAAAAAAATAAAATAGTATGTTATATTAAGTTATAATTTATTTGATTTGTTAATTGACAAAAAGGATTTTCATTTATAAGTTGTATTTTAATATTAAAGAACCTCGATTATGGACGAAATAATAAGTGTTATATTATTATTATTTATTTTTGGGGGGAGGGCATAAATAATATGGCCGAGGGCGTCAAATTTTTAAATACGGGCCTGGGTGCACTCGTAGTCGATTGTTGAACTGGTTAAACGACGTCGCGGATCACGTGCATACGAGCGCGATTCGTTATCACTGTCCAATGTTATCAGCGTTCACGTTTCGCTCGCGCGTTCGGCGCGTACACGGTGAAAACGTGCGCGCGCCGGCGCATGTGCAATCGGAGGCGCGTATACGTATATAGTAACATAGAAGCGCAGCTAATTTATTGATAAAAGTCTGTTTCAAAAAACCTGCCCGTCCGCGTTTGTTATTCGCCGGTGCCCGCGCGCTGGTGTTCCGTTGGGCCTCCTTGGGCCGTCCAACCGACTCGCCGACATGTGAGCACGAAAACAACAACGACAGTGTGATAATGAACAGTCGATTCTTATCGCCGTCGTAGCCTTTAGTCGCGCAGTACCCGAAACGATATATCACGATGACGCGTGTCTGCCGTCTCGGTTTCGCATCGTAAACGGCCCCGATAACGGGTTTTTACGGTATTTTTTTTTTCATTTTTTCCTCTTTCGCTCAATCTATCCTCTCTTTCTACCGTTGTTTTTATCCCCGTCCGTTTTGGTGGACGATCCTCGAACACATCATTTTTATTATACTGTTATTATATTATTTGCGTAGACGCTTGCACGTACTCGCACGATCATCACCGCTGCACCATGGATGAGGCGCAGAGCGTGGACGGTACCGATCTAAGGGACAAGGACGTTAACATTCAAAGTGAGTTGGGCAGGAACGACTAAAGGCATGCACAACTCGATCTTCTTTGCAGGGCCTAGGATATTTTCCCACTTTGACCTACCTGAATTATACAACATTGACACTTGTTGATTATCGTTTTCAATTTTTTTTTTTTTTGTTTCTATCCGTCCTCCAACAAGACATTTTGAACATTATTCTGGTTATATATTATAGTTTGTACCATTTAGATACCTTTATTGTGTGCCACTATTATGTGCCTTTGATATTATTTTATGATTTTTTTTTTCTTCATACTGCATATTCTAAATAATATAAAACATCAAAATATATTACAGCAGGCTGAAACACTTCTCTAGTCATCATCTATAAAAAATAATATATTATATTCCTTTCAATCATTAACTAATTATTATGTATCAGGTATAGCCGACCGCTTACTTCATATGTTAACTGAAGAGCGAGATGAAAAGGTATTGAATGCAGTTACAAATTCTCTTTTGACCTTATCTAAAACTCATTCAAAACAAATCGTTCAAAATATGATACATTACAAGCTACAAAATGCGGTAAATATAATATTTGTTTAATTTATTTAATGAATATGCATTTGTTACTAATTTATTTTATTTAACTAGATTTTGAACTATATTTGGTTTTTAATGTCATTATTTTTAAATTTTATTATAAATATTTTATAAGTTTTTCATCATAATTGCGTTGTGTTAAAATATTTAAAATAATTTATACTTTTAAGACAAATTAAATATAATAGAATTTTAACTGAATAAACAATTATGAAGTAAATTTAAATTTTTTAAATCTATAATGAGAAAAGTCCATTGATAATTTATTTTAATACTTTAACTAATTTTACATTTATTATTTACATAATTTAAATTTAAATTTTTATGATATGAGTATAATTATACCATTAACCCGATGAATCTTTAATTATGTTTTTCATTTTATTTTACCTAAATATCAATTAATATTTTTAAAAATATCTACCTATATGTTTTTGAAGAAAAATTAATAAATGGTAAAATATAAACACAGTAGACAGTCTTCTTATACATATTTAAGTATTGTTATGATGATATACTATAAATATGATGATATGCTATGTATGATGTTGATATACCAATACCAGAATTTTACTATGTATAAATTATCAGAAAATTAATTTTTTTTATAAGATTTCAAGGGTGTTAAAATGTATTTTATTTTCCTTAACCTTGACCTAGCAGTTTAACTACTTCGCTTATGTGTATTTAATATTGTACAACTTTTATTAGCTCTACCTCTTATATTTTATTTCAAAAAATATATAAATTTTTTTTAATGCTGCTATGTTATTTTCAGTTAAGTGTTGTGGAAACTAAAAGTTTACTATCAGTTATGAAGCAAATATGTGAAAATAACTATAATGATTTTGATGTGGAACTTACAAATAATTTGGTTCAATTTGCCAAAAATGAAATGATTAAATCTTCAGACTCCCAATTTACTGCATCTGATATCTTAATAACTTTAGGCCGTGGAAGATCTGAGCAGGTAAAATGTTAATTTATTATGGTTAATAAACTTTATTTACATTTTATACATAATAATCTTAATCCAACTACAATAAAAATGGAGTCATTTTAAGTATTATACATTTTATTTTATCCTACCATATATTCTTTTGGTGTATAAGTATTCTTATAAAATTTTTTTTAACAATTAAAAATTTTAAATATAATCTGCCACATGTTATCCTTAATGTTATCACTATAAAATTAACTAATTAATTGTTTTACATTTTCTGTTTTTAGATTATACACAATCTTATGTCACATTTACATGAAGGCATTCCTCCTCATTGTTCTATTATCTATTCATTGGGACACCTTGCTTCAAATCATCCTCTAAAATTTATTCATTTTGTTGATCCATTCTTGTCAGCTACTTGTTCAACTTTGCTTTTGATCAAGTCGGATGCTTCACGTAAAATTTATGCTACAGGTTTGTAAATATAAAAGTAATATAGTTTTACTATTAATAATTTATCATAATTTCTGATTATACAAATTAATTAATTAATTCTAGAGTAGTTTGGATAATCAAATGTCTGAAAAATTGAAATATGTAACATTAAAAGTTATAAGTTTATATGAATAAATTGTTATTATTTATAGTATATAATTTTATATTTATGATGTTAGGTTATGTTATGTTATGTTATGTTGTAATTTATGATGTCCCTCGGTCTCCTTAATTATAATTATTGAGTGGTGTTTGATTTGTCTTATTTCTCAAACTATTTAAATTACAAATCCAATGTATCAAAATTTTCAAAAATAGACGGCCCATATTCACTTTCAGTCAAATCATCAGTTTCATTTTCCTCTCCTTTAATATTATGTATGTGGTATCTAGCTTCAATTTTATCCAAATTGTTTATATTCTCCTCATCATAATTTCTGAATATGTGGACTTAACTAATACACCGACATATTTTAGCTCTTTTAACATTAAATTCCACATTATAGATGTACTCAATCCAGTAGCTTATTTCATGACCTTTAAAAGATTCAATTTTGTACACATTTCTATGCTTTGACACGTTAGCCTAGCATACAGCAGCAATCCTTTAGTTCAATTTTTTTTATAAAAGGACAGAACCTTTTCTTATTATTTTGATCATCTAAAATTATGTATCACATCAATTCCTTTCTATATAGTATTTTCAATATTTTTATCATAGGTTGAACTATAGAGAAGTAACATTGGGGAAAACATTTTACCTCAAACTCATAATTGATCAAATTTAAAGTTTCTGGCAAAAGATGGGATAGAGCGTTTTCTAATAATAGTACCTTGCCTTATTTTACTATATTTTGAAGAATTTATTTTATTTTAAGAACGAACGTAAATTTAAAATATTCCAAGAAAAAATTTTCTTTGTCCATGATTTTTTTTTTTTACTTTTGTATGTTAACGGAATTTTCATATTTTTAAAGCAACGTGGGTTTTTAATAAGTTTAATAACATACTCGTATTAAACGTTTAGTATGTTATGTTTTTGAATTTCACTCTTAATCATATTTTATAAATTATCTCATTATTATTTTAAAATAAAATTTAAAAGTTGCTAATTTAATAATATAGAATATTTGTTTAGTTACATATAAAATAAAAGTATTTTTTTTTTTTTTGAAACTTCTATTTTTTATTAAATAATAGGTTTTTAAATAAAACCGCACACTTATTATTTCTACCCCAAAGAGGTCTATAGACAAAAACCACACACTTTATCGGTCATTGTATAACGAAATACGGCGTAATTATAGTAGGTTAAAGCCGCACGCTATTTTTTGTGTTAAATGACGGATAAGATATGATAAGTTAAATTAATCATGCTAACACGTTTAGTAGAGTCTGAAGTCGCTACTCATTAGTTGGTCCTATGTATAGGTATATAATGGTTAAAATATAAATGGCTTTTTGTATTTTTATAATGGACGTTAAAATTATTGATAGTAATGAAGGGGGTAAGTGATTATTACTTGACAATTTTAAGTAGGTACAGGAATAATGGTTTGGCGGTGTTTTATTAAACATTTTACGTCCACGTTACCACATGCAGTCAAATTAAGAATATACTAAAAACTAAAAACGCATAAATGTATGTATAATAACAATCAATTAATTTAAATGCAAGGCTTCTAATGACATTAATGAGAGAACTCGAAAATAATACTCAAAGAGAAGTCATCCATAGAAAATAATAGAATTATAGGAAACAATGACGTAAGCTTAATAAAGAAGTTGATATATTATAAACGTAGGAAACTTTTACCAACTTTACCGAAAAGTTTGGAATATGCTCTAAACTTTGTTTCATATAGGAATATTTAAACCTGCCAAAACGAAAAAATTACCTATATGTTAAAAAAAGACGAAATTATTATTGATACGTGTAAAAAAATATTTAATTTTTATGTAATCATTGTATGAATACTTGGCTGGTAGTACTTAACCCAAGTATTTTTATCAACTGTATACTATACACGAATAGAGCCGGAATTATTATTTTTCTTTAATATATTATTTTGTATTTCTAAAACTTAATCTTGTTACATAAAAATGTGGGCCAATGTTAAAAATGTATGTATGAAGTTAGGACAAGTTTTTTTTTTTTACTTTTAATAATTCATCTTGATTTTTAGATAGCTGTTCATAATGGTGTATAAAAAACATTTACTAAAGTAGTGGTAAGAGGTTGTAAATTCATTTTGATCAAGTTTATTTGATTTTAAGCTGTAAAAACAATTAAGATGTAAATCTTAAGTGTGCGATTTTTTGATGCAAACATTTTAAAAATTGTGCGGTTTCAACCTATTAAGGTTGCCGTATACTGAATCGGAACGGAACGGAACCATCCAATCCGATCGGAACGGACAAAATGAATAAACATAATTTTAAATGAATCCCGCAAACCGGATTATTATTAATAAATTTAAAATTACCTTCAGTTTATTTTGTACGCCTATTAATCATATTTCTAGAGAAAAACACACTTAGTTAACATGCTGGTGGGGCGCGTAGATTTCGGATTCGTTCCAACGCAATGTGCGGACTAAGCTTGTTTCCGTTTCAACGCGTTCCGATGGTAGGAATTCGATTCAGTGTGCGGCAACCTTTAAATGTGTGTGGTTTTAACCAATCAAAAGTGTGCCGTTTTAGGAATCGACGAAATAATAATATATAATATAAATCATTTAAATAATACATAAAAAAAAAATTAACTATGTACAATTATTTAAACTGAAATGTAAACATTATTTATTGAATATTTTAATTTCCCGTGCATAATATAATAATATAAACTTATTAAGTACTATGAACATCACAAGAATAATAAATGTACTATAAATGCGTCCGCGATAAGATGATGATAATTGTTAATAATTTAATAATATCACTAAAATTATTTATAGTTTTATATTTCTTTTTTTATTGTTAGTTTAAATTGTAAATATATTTTTATGTTTATAAGGGATTTTATTTTTATTCGGTATAAAACGTATGTAATTATGTGTTTATACTATAAGTTTTATTTGTACGTATATAGTTTAGTATAAACTGTAATATATGTTTCAATCCTGGTTTTTTTTTTTTTGGCTTGCACGGTTATTGTTTACCATGTACCTTGGAGCTGCTACCAATTTTTGTTGATACCAAGGACTTTGATGGTTACATTTTTCGGTTGAGGTCCATTTCATCTGTGTTATAGACAAAATCCATGTCAAATTTGTTTTCTTCAATGTATTTCTTTATCATAAAACGATTCTACTGTGGGGACATTTGCATTCAACTTTTCTCCTTAAATCTCTATTAACGTGTTGAACATTTTTCATCATCGAAATTATTCACGTACCTGGTTAGGAGAATCCGTGTTTTTTTATCTGAAATTGTGGATGTTTCAATACTGTACTTTTCGGCTAACACTCAGCTTGTTTCACCTTTTTTGAAATACGCAATAATGTTTATTTCTTTAATATAAGAACTACACGTTTTTTTATTAGACAAAATTTTTTCACTGAAATGTACTCGTTATAATGATTAACAAACTAAACTGTTCAATGATTAGTCAATAATTAATTTATTGAGAAAAATATCGTAATAATACCAATGTTGTGGCAATGGCCAATAAAAATAAGCGTTCGATAATTGTAATGATTACGATTATATGGAACTACAAAATTCTATTACGATTATCGAGTTATTAAAAGACCAAACATTTTTTTTCTCATCAGGATGTTTGAACGTTCGGTCGATCGACGTTCTGATAATTGGCGTCATCCTGAATTTAATTTATTATAAATCTAGTAAATAATTAAGGCTCTTTTATTTATTTATATTTTAAAAAGGGTGAAATTCTTAGGTCAATTGAATTACAATCACGGGTGAATAATATTGCTGTATTGGTCTTCTTAACTTAAAACTAATGAACAATTGCTTTTGAAAAAAATATATTGAGTAATTGAAACGAGTGCCCTATGAACTGTACAATTTTTTTAAAAATATATAAAAATATTTTTATAAAATGAAATGTTTTTAAAATAATAATATAAGTACTCAGTAAATGTTTCGAATCGCTACGATTCATATTTATAGGATAATAACTAATTAACTGATATCGTTTAATTTTTAAATTGAAATTAGTTAAAATATTCAATTTTATAAAAATTTCATTTTGTAACACTTATTAAATATTTTTGCAACCGTCCAGTAAATTGTTTATGTTTTGACTACACAGAATTTCATATGAAAATATTGTATACAATTTTAAAGCCTTTGTATTAAATTGAAAGTTGTATGAATTTTTAACTACAAAAAGTAGCAAATTTTTCTGATATACTCATATAATGGTTTTCAAAAGATTTTTTTGGGCTATTTATGAAAAGTTGAATATTTCATGTTTTTTATTTTTTTTTGACTTTTTCGAAAATATTGATACAATAATTTTGAATCGATACAAAATTTTGAAATCGTGATAAAGTTTCTTATGCATGTCTCATGAAAAAGTTGAACATAATTACAAAAAAAAAATAAAATAATAACAAATGTTTTAATATTAAATGTTAATAGAGCTATAAAAATCACCAAAATCCACTACAATTTTATAGTTAAAAATACATAAAACTTAAATTCTTATACTTAAGGCTTGAAAATCGGATACAAGGTTTTTCATAAAATTTTCTCTGTAACCAAAACAACAATATATAACCAAAATGTATTGGATATTTCAACGAATTTCCATTAAATTATATTAGTTATTATTGTTAGTTAAAGACATATCATAGTTTCAAAATATCTTATAAAATGTATGCTGTTATAGACACTTCAAATTTTCTATTTTCTTATATTTAATATATTTTTATTTTTATTACGAAAAATAAAAATAAAAGTTCAATTTGATACCTTATTACAAATCTAATGTATCAAACATCTTTTTTAAAAAAAACTGATTTATTCGACGTCTTTTACTCAGAATTTTCTTTTTGATAGCAATAGTACATTGGTTTCAAATTTAAAAGAAATATAGTATTATCATTCTCTTATACCAGTATATCACCCAACTGTGATGTCTCATCTGACTTAGCAATCTCACCCTTTTTATTAATACTTTTTTGAATAAAATTGGAAAATATTTCACTGTAAATTAAAATAAACTTTTTTCGATGTTAATACTAACCTAAGTTGTAACGTTACCACTTAAATTCATATTAATATTTATTTTATTTCAGCAATTGGTCAAGTCTGTGCATCAGTAATTGAATGTGAATCCTCAGAACTATATCAAATTAAAGATAAACTGTCATCTAAAGTAGAAGAGATTTATAAAATTATTAGTGATTCCTGGTTAATATCTAAGGATGTAAAGGTTAGTATTTTAATTTATTTCATAATTTAGTTATTTTAATTTATTTATGTATTAAATCAAAATAGTATTTTATTAATTTATGTTTGAATAACTTAAGTTACATTTTTAAATTAAAGTAAATAGTAAATATGATATTACAATATTATAATATAAATGCTTGTGTGTCTCACTGATTGAACATGTAAACATTTATAGTAATTGTTTAAAATAAAAGATTGATTGTTCTTATTATAATAATGAATTATTTTGTATTAATTATCATTTTTATTTTTTTTTATAGGTATACGAATGTGTTCTTGAAGCTTTTAGCTCAATCATAATGTTGATGAGTGTTCAAACACTAAGTAAAGATAGAATAACAATTTTGACAAATATAATAAATTTGTATAAAAGATGTTCATCTGTTGGTTTGTCTCGATTTTGGGTTACACAGTACTTGGCTAGTTTTTTGTCAGTAGTATCAGAAAATATGCTTGAACCAGTAATAGATCATCTGTTTTTAATATTACATGATATGGTAATGAATTTTATATGAATAACTCTTTATAAGTAATTTATATATACATTTTTAATGATTTGTATATTAAAATATTATTTTAATTGCAGGTTGTTGTGATACCTGATTATGATTTTCCAATGTCCATTAAAAACCATTCAGAAGTTCTAAGATGTTATACTTACTTAGGTATTCTATTATAGATTAAAAACATTAAAAACTAAAATAAAATAGTAAAGTATCAATTTTTTGACGTATTAATTTGAAATTAATTCACAAAAAAAAAAAAAAAATGAAAAATATAATACATCCATATTCTAAATTACTTAAAGTAATAATTTTTAATTGCTAGTACACGAAATATTAATTCATTAATTTTATGAGAAAAACACTAATTATTAATTACATGAAATATTGTAACCATAACTTTAGGAATGATTTAAAAATTTACAGTTGTAAATGTAATATATGTGATATATGTTAGCTTAATAAATTTTTTTATATTTCAATCAATATGGATTACGCATTGTCTGGATTATTTAGTCTTACCCATAAAATTTGAATGCAAATATAAACAAATAGTTTTTAAAATTACTATTGATATTATACTTTTTTTATAAGTATTTTTCTCATATGGGCTTATCAAAATTATAATAATAATAGTAATATTAACAAAATCAGTCAATCATTATTAAAATTTTCTATTACCCAGTCAAGATTAAAATATAATAACTAATACCTAATAGATTTTTTGTTTTTAAATATTCTTAACATAATAACTACTAATAATAAAATATAATTATATTTTGTACAATATTTATACAAAATGTATTAAAGTTGCTGAGTTGGACCAAATTATTCAGACAAAGTGCACATTGCCTTGTATTCCATACTGCCCATACAATTTTTAAGATTTGTAATATCTATTTAATTATTGATACTTATATTAGGTAAACATTTTGGAGATAAAATATGTGATCTGATATTACGGGATTTAAAGTCTAATTCAGAACAAGGTAGAATGGGTGCTTTACTTATTGCATCACATTTATTAAATGCTTCTAATCAAAGCATTAAATTAAAATCTGCTGAGATTATTCCAATATTGTATGATTTATTAAAAACTAACAGTTCGTTTCAGGTAATTTAAATTATTGATAAATTAATTATAATTGTATTAATTAATGTACATTAAATTAATTTTCAGATGAAGAATTTATTGGTGAAAATTTTTATATGTTTTGCATATCAAGGACATTTAACTGAAAAAGATGATTATTTTATTGAATTTCTAATAAAAAATATTTGTTATTATGGTCATTCAAGTGTAAGTTATTCATTATTTATAGTTCAGTATTCTTACTTGTGTTATTTAGAATATCTTTTAGTATGGAATACTTACCTTATTTGTAAATGTGAAAATATTTATATATTTAAAAGTGAAAACAGATGTACAAATTCTTGGCCGCAAAGTGTGTAAAAAAGTTAATTATGAAGTTTTTATGTCACAATTTAATTATTTGGCCATAGATTTATGTAACAGAAAAATGCATAAAATGCGTTAAGCCCATTTCTGATTCAAAATTAACATTTTCAATGTGTAATTTTATTTCTGGCAAAATATACTTTAATTCAATATTCATCTACAAATTTTTGCATGTAATTTATATACTTGACGAAGACAATTTTTTTGAAGTTATTATTTTACTTCTAAATATAAATTATTTGAAAACCGTCTGTATTTTTATAAATAAATATTTGTTTATTTATTAGTTTATATTTTAAGTATATATTAACTTTTGAAATAATTATTTAAATATGACTGAGAATTATTTGTATTTATTAATCAAATAAATAAATAACTTTTTTTAGAGTAAATATTCTAATGATGATGGACTCTCAATAAAACAAACATGTGAAGATGCATTATATATTCTCTGTACATCTATAGAACCAGTACAAGTACTGTGTTGGAATAAGTTATTAACATTTTTAATGAATAATGAATATGATAATGCCGTACCATCAATTACTCGGTCATTAGCGCATATGGCTACAAAATCGCATTTAAGTAAGATTCTATTTTGTTAATATACCATACTTTGTATCATACATATTAAAAAATCATACTAATGCAGTGTAAAAAGTTAAATTAAATTTATTTTTATAATATATATTAAATGTATTGTAAATATTATAATAATTTGTGTGCAATAATATTATTTGATAAGCTTTTTGTTGTTATTAATATGCTGTCATCATAAATTGAATTAATTATTTTTTAATTTTAAGTTTCCTTATTTGTTATGTTGAAATTTTTTGTATTTAATAAAATTATATTATTATCGTCTGACTGGAAAACCAAAATTTCTGTTATCTGAATAATGCATTCATAAATTCTTGATAAAAATTCTGTTTTATTATTATATTGTCTTCTATTTATATTGAAATACCATTATGAGTTACTTTTTAAAAGATAATATTCGAGTTATAAAATGTTTAATAATTCTAGCATAATTTTAATTTTAGGATCCATAAGATTTTCAAAAGAAAAAGACTTGATTGTTGCGCGTTGTCTTTATTTATTATGTCAACCATTCAAAGATAACAGAGGAAGTTCTGTTATAAACTTTTTATTAAATTATGGCATTCATGATTTATCAGATAGTGATAAAGAGTTTTGGATGAAACACGCAGATATATTGATTAGATTTTTGGATTGTAAGTATAATAATATAATATAATATGTTTAATTCATAGATAATTAAATTATTAGTGTTAAATAATTTATTTAATTTTTAATATAGCATCATCCGAAAAAAAAGAAAAAGAATGGGAAGTAGTGTTATTGAATACACTAAGTATTGTATTAGAAGAATGCATAATAGATAGACGTTGGAGCTTAAAATTAGCTGAAAAAATGTTTGACGAACTTGTAAAGACCTATGAAGTTACAAAAATATTTACTTCTGAAATGTTTTTAATCATTAAAATGATATCATATTTTGCTGCTTATTTTGATGCTGAAGAATTATCCCTGACAAAAAATTTATTAAATTTCATTTTTCAATCTCTCTTAAGGATGTCTTTTGAAAAAAGTCAAGTAAGTTTAGGTTATTTATAATATTTTTATCTTTAAAACTAAAAGAATGTTTTTAGAAATTGGTAAAAAGTTCTAAGAAAATAAATTAAAATGGCTTTAAGAAATATTTGTATTACCAGATCTTTAAACTTAAGTAATAGGGAAAGACGTATGTAGTTGCCCAAAAATTGTAGTTTTTCAGGGATGATATTTATCAATTATAAATTTGAATTATTACTAACAGATTTTTTTATGTATAATATTGTATTTAATCTATGTATAATTTAATATTTGAGTTAGTACTAAAATAATTTCGAAGATTTTGATAAATTGATATTGATGTATTGATTGGAATATTGGATGGATTGGTTGAAAACTGATTTTGACAATTATTAATCAAATTAAAACCTAAATATAAGTATAAGAAAAATAATAGTAATAAAAATCTTATAATGTAATATAATATAATATAAATGTAATAATAATTATTCTATAGTTGGGGCAGACTGGGTAACCAACTGGGTAAATCATAGTCTATTGAACAAAATTATGGATGACCCAATGTTCACTCAATATTTGAAAAAACTATTGTTCTAATTATTTTAGTTTAAGAAAAAAAACTTATTTTATACTTTTGTTTTTACATTGTTCCCCAAATTTCTTTTGGCTCCCATCCATGGTCTAAAGCAGCGTTACCCAAACTCTTGTTCGGGCCGGCCCGATAATTAATATTTTTCCCTTTCGTGACCCACGAAAATATTTTACATTCATCATTGCGCAAAAAAACGAAAACATTTGAATGTCCACAACCGACGACGCATGCATTTGTTACTATTGTACCGTGTTCGTAGTTATGGCGAATGCCATACTCCATATGGGCTTTTCGTAAAGTTCATTTGATAAAATCAATAGTTATTATTCATGTTGTATACAATAGTCATTCGTACTGTTTTTACCAAAAAGTTCAAATTATCAACCGAAATGATAGATAAAAATTTTGATATGAGAATTCTGATTATATCCGGTATTATATTTTCGTGGCCCGGTAGTGGGTCGCGACCCACTATTTGGGAAACACTGTTCTAAAGATTTTATGATTTCTATGCGCATAACTATTGTTGACTATACTCACCTTTATGCGAAGCATAGCTTACTACTCTACCATTCCTTTAAACTTACAATAATGTTTGGAAGGACTTCTAAAGGAGTCTCCCTCCCTATGTATACAACTTCTAGAGGAAACACTTGTGTCTTCAACCATATTATTTTTAATTGACTCTCCTCCCTAGTAGACAACTCTACTCTTGTTTGTAAAAAATAAAAAGCTGATATTTATATTTTTTAAAATGATTAATATTTTTTAACGAATTATAAAATAGTACTTTGTTTGATTAGAGATTTTTTAGATTTATATAATGGTAACTAAAAAACATATTGTTTTTTAGTATAGTAACTAAGGTTAAATAATTATTTCAAATATTAATCAAAATCTAATCTTTATTGTTTAACCATTTTTTTTTTATCAATGATGAACTATTCTTAATGGAGTCAAGTATTTCTTCTAATTTTTCACCTTGTAAAAGATCTTCTCATCTGTAATAATATGCCCTAATATAAATATTAAGTGAATATTTGGCATTATACCAAAATAATAACTAAGAAAATTCTTGAATAAAAATTACAATATTACTATGACAATAAAATAATATTGAATTATATATTGAATATTCATTTTGTATCACTGATCAATGACATGAACCATAGAAAGCTTAGCAGTGGATATTTCGTGGTCCAATCCACCCCTACCTATAATTATAACTATTACTTTTTAGATTAAATTAAAAAATTATAATATAAGTACACGCAAATTATGTTATATTTACATAGTAAATTTTGTTAACAATTAATATTCAAATTTTGTACGAATTTTGTTTTATTTAACTTATATTACATATACTATTATCAATTTGTGCAAGTTTTCAAATCATAATCCCAATTTGTAATAGGAATTTTCCGGAGCTATTGGTGTTATAAGTCAAGTCCATACTGGACTAGTGGTGAACAAATTGTTAGAATTTATTGGAACTGAATTGACCAAACAGCCAAATAAATTTTTAGTCCTTATAAGAGACAAAGGTAATGAAATGGCTAGGGATAAAATTCGGTCTTCAATTGCCATCATTATACCTGATATAGTGAAGAATGGAAAACTTCGAAGTGTAATTGATAGCATCTATGATATTGTAATATTGATAACCCAGCAAATAAGTCTAACAAAGGTACATTATTTATCTCAATCAATATTGAAAACTGTAATAATAATAATAATTGGATATTTTTTTTTTTTTTAATTAACTTTTTATCATTTATAGAACATTGAGACTAAAAAGTCCTTAGTTCAATGTCTTGAAGTTATAGCAAATGTTATAAGTAATGTTGAAAATAGTGATACGATACCAAATTTATCAATCATCCGAGACACAGTCATCAAGAATCTTGTAGATCAAATTTTAAATTCCAGTTCACTATCTGATTACATATACTATCAAGTCTTAGCATCTTACATGTAAGTTGTTTTAATTTATGTGATTTGATTAAAATATTAAATAAAATCAATAGTTTGTGATATCTAAATTGTTGATAACTGTAACTTTGTTTTTTTTTTTTTTCTAAAATTTTCTAATAGAAAACCTGTACCTGATATTGAACCTATCGATTTGAGTACAAGATCGTTCATTATAACAAAGTGTGTTGACAAAATATTTATCCTTTCTTCCTCAGAAATTGTGGATAATAATGGAACTGACATCATGTTAACATTGGAATATCTTTGTGAGTATTTATATTGTAAAACATTAATTTCGTGATAGATACAACTATAAAATAATCATGAAATGTATTGTTCAGGTAAAGTTCTTGATCAGTTGCTGGTAATTAGAAGTGGATCATTTGAAGTAGTTGATGAAATTGTCATAATACTGAATCCATACATAATATCACGAAAAAATTATCAAAGATTTATTGCCATTTATTTACTACAAAATATTATGAACTGCTATTATAGTCATAGCAATTTTCAAATAACTAAGGTAATGAATAATATTTAAGATTTGTATTATTTTATATCTAAAGTGTGATTTATTGACTGAAGCATTTTATTGAAAAAATGGCACATGGATATGACTTAAACACAATACAAACAAGGAAAATACCTAGTTTTTCTTTTAACAATTTATTTGTTAAAATAAATGATATATATGATTGTCATAGTAAATCCTTAGTAAAATCATAGTATCAACCAATTTTGCTTTTATTAAAATGCACTATGACATCAATGCATTATAATTGATTGTACTTTTCACTCAACGAGTCTAACATCTGGCGTGACATTTCAGTCAATATTTTATCATGAGTCCAACAATAAGATGTATCCATGTAAATCACTTTAATATATCATATTAATATATTAATATATTAATATTTGAAAAACATGTTTGTTTTAGCTGCCAACATGTTTAAATTCATCTGCACCATTGTTTGCTCAAATGTGTGTGCGTATAGCAGAACCTGATGAAAAAACAAGACTGAACGTTTTTAAATGTCTGGATATTTTACTAAAAATAACTGCCATTTATAAAGGAGCTTTTACTGAAAGTTATATAAACCAATCTGATTATATTGATAAAATAATGTTTGACAATAATGCAGAATCATGTAGAAAACTTTTAGAGGTACTATTATAAATAATTGATGAAAGTATTTTTAAAATTAAAACTTATTCCAGGCTATGCAAAAAATATTAGCACCATCGGATCTGCCACTTTTTTGTAAATGTTTAATTGATGGTTTACATGACCACGAAGAGTTATGTCAGTTAAAAACTAGTGAAATATTAAACATTTTATTCCCAATTGTTGCCCAACAATTTCATCAAAAAGCTTATAATGAAATTTTAAGTATGTTATTCTATTATATTGTAAAATTTAGATTACACAAAAAATTAATATTTTAGTTTAATATTACCATATTATACTCATTTTTTATCTCAATTTTATATTTTTTTATTGTTATTTATATAAATATAACAAAGTATAAGTTTAAATTCTATAAATATTATATTTGTATTATTCTGTATGACCTGTAAATTATAACAAATAATATGTGTGTTATTCAAAAATATAACTCACCATTTACTGTGTCTTGTATAGTTTTATAATTATATTTGGTTATTAAAATCATATAAATTTTTTTTAATAGGTTACCTATTTAAAGAGCTTGAAAACACCAATGAAATTATTAAGGCGAATAACATAAAAGCGTTGATTACTTTTGGAAAATTTAACAAATCGGATTTTATTGAATTACTTATTAATCAAAGCTTGCCATTTAGTTTGTAAGTTTTATATATTTCAGATTATGAGATTTTATTACAATTGATTTAAGTAATAATACAAGATGAGACTGTTCTGTTGTAGGTTTATTATTACCTATAGTACAAAAAGTATATATTCAAATTTATTTTGATAATAGATTCAATCAATTTTATTTTTTTAATTATTAGTATAAAAATAATAGATATTAAAATACTATAATTTTCAATTTTTTTTTATATTTATGTATAAAATTAGTTAATTTATTAAGATTATTTAAGAGTTTCCTAGTATCATAATATTAAATGCGTAGTATGCATGAAAAATTTTTGATATAAACAATAATATTTAATTTAAATAAAAATTAAAATATAATCTTTATTTGATTAAAAGAAATTTAACTTAGACAAATTGAGTTTTTGATTATTATGTTAAGTTTATTAATTGAATCGGTCATTTCGAAAAGGCCATATCTCCATAAAATGAAAACTGTCAGAAAACATAAAAAACTATTTTTAGAGATCAAAATTAAATTTAAATAAAAATTGAAAATGGGTTGAATTATTTAATTCCCTTATAAAAAACGCATTATGATGTGGTGGTCTCGCAGGAAATATGCATTATTATTATTTAAACACATCTATCATATAAAAATAGTTTTGAAAATGTATGGAGAAATTGCCTTTTCGAAATGACTGATTCAATTATTAATCATCAATAATTATTAAACACTATTAATTTAATTAATTGATCGTATAATTATAAATATAAATTTTTTTTTTAGGACTGTGTGTGCTATTTGGCAATCTTTAGGGAAAGAGGAAATGTGTTCTCAGATTGTGGACACGCTTTTAGAGTTTATAACATTAACACCTTTGTATGATACTAGTACAAAACAGTTCCTAAATAAACCAGTTGCTTCACTGATCCCTATTGCAGTAAGTATAAATACAAATATTTGATCTATGTATAAGTATAATCATTTCTAACTTTCTAATTTAAAGTAATTATTGTATGAAATATCAACGGTCTGTTATTTTGTTTATTGTTTTAAGTGTTGCTTATATTCTATTTTAAACAACTAAATTTTACTTTTTATTCATATTATTTATTTATAATTTATAAAACATACATTGGATTTTATATATCAAAACAAATAATGTTATTTAATATCTTGATCTTCTAAAAAAAATTTTATAACGGTTGTTAATATCCATAATATTATAAATGTATAAGATATATTACTCAAAATATGATTAACTATTAAGTATTGCATTATAGTTTTAAAGAATATTTTATAATTTTATTTTGTGTTTTAGGCACTTAGTGGTCTGAATGAAATTTTAAAACAACTTTCATATGATTCTACAATAAAGTCATTTCCTGATCTTTTTAATATTATATTTTTGACCTTTGCTGCATTGATTGATGTTGGTTCTCCTATACGAGGAACTAATAAAAATTTATTTATATCTTATAAAGAAGTTTATGACATAAATCCTGCCAAGTAATATTTATTGTTATATTTAATCTATTTGCTTAAATTTTTCAATATTTACATAAATATTTATTTATTTTAAATACATTTTAGAATTGCTCACGAAACATTATATCATTTATTTAAAGCCATTAAATTAGAAGAATGTTCTAATCATATAATGGATTCAATCAACTGCTTGGATACTACAGTCGATATTATCATGCATAAATTAGGACCATGCATTATTAAGTAAGATATTTATTTATAAAATAAATGTATTTCTTATTTAATCATTATATACTTAATTATTATATTATAAATATAAATTAGTAAAATTAATATTTAAAAATATTTAATAATGACTTAACTTATATATTTTTTAATGTTTATTATTTAAATGATTACAATATTTAATTTAAAATTTACTTATAATTATTTTAAAACTATTTATGGTATTTAAATTTTATAAATAGTTATTTAAGTGACTTTTATCGTAGAATCAATTAATAAAATTAATTTGTATTCTAGGCTCTCATTATCTCATTATAATTTATTGATAAAATTTGAAGTATTTAATTCTTGTTTTTGGTGAAATATATTCATAATACTGTTAGAATAATGTTTAAAAGTTACTTAAATGCGTGGTTTTTATTATCGATAAAATTGTTAATGCAATTATTATTTGATAGAGTTAATTTATATTACGTTAAGTATCTATAAATTTATCTATAGATTTTTTATTATAATAAAAAAATAATTTTTATTCTGCAACTGTATATAAATTAAAATTGATAATTTTTAAATTTAACTTAGTAACTATAGTTTAATTTTTTTCAGAGGATTGGTTGAAACATATTCTGATTTGATCTCAAAAATATTAAATAATTTTGACCAAAACTTAAATAGTACATTAGAATGTCAACGGATTGCTATTGTAATTCTTTGTTTATGTGTAAGTATTTGTATCTATAGTTTGCAGACATTTTATTATAATACTTATATATGAATATTTATCTAGTGTACTGAAACTATAACGACTGATGCAAAATATACTACTAATTTAATAAACATTTTTTTAAAATGTTTGAATGATACATCGTATACTATAAAAAAGTATTGTTTAAAAGGTCTCACAGTTATTTGTCAACATCAACAGATTTGGGTAAGGACAGATTCTTAAATATATATATTTTGAATAATTTTTTTTAATATATATGTTTTCTCTTTAAATATATAAATATTTTATTTAAGTCTGATAATCAGTCTCAATACATACTTGATGCACTAATGCAAAGTCTCGATGAACATCAAACACAACAGAGTGATGTAACATTAGAAGCCATACGCGGTCTTATATCATTAACACCTCATTTATCATTAGATCAGTTTGAAAAACATTATACTACTTTAACATTTCGTATTAAACAATTTTTTGAGAATGTAAGTAATAAATGTACTATAAAATATTATGAAATGAACTTTTGTTCAACATTTTAAAAAATCAATGAATTTTAGGAAAATAACGAAATGCGCAATACTTCCATAAGACTTTATGGTGAATTATGTTCTAAAACAATAGATTTTGCTATTGAAGTAGATATGTCATTAATTCATAATAATATGGTCACACTTCTTATGCATTTATGTGAAAATGATATAAATATTGTTAAGGTTGGTATTAAAGCGCATTATTATTATGTTCAAATGTTTACTTAATATAGTTACTTTATAATATGATTTGAAATATTTTACATTTTATAATACAATTTTTATTACAAAATTAAGTTAAATTTGACTTTATAATTTATCATTACATAAAATAAATTAACAATAACTTTTTGAATTTATTAAAATTAACTTATATTTTTATAGCAAAATTATAATTAATTTATTATACAAATATACATTCTGGTTAATAAGTTATTTATAAAAGTTTTTATTATTTATCGATTGTTGTTTATCAAAATCTTAAGTAAGCATTTTGAAAATAATATTTAACATCTTTCTTTGATTTTAATTGCAGTCCTGCAAGTATGCATTGAAAAAAGTTAGCATCTTGTTAAATTCTGAAAGAATGATAGTTATGACTCAAAATCATTTAATTGAAGAAGGAAGATTGAAGTATACTGAATTTACTCAACAAATGTGTAAAATTATGGTTTGTATATAGTATGAAAAAAATTTAAAATGTATTATTTAACTTAAATCAAATGTTTATAGACTGAAGAATTTTTATCTCATATTTCTACTTATACAATGATTGGAATATCATATACGAAAAGTATTTTTCCTGAACTAAGAGCCAGTGCTGCATTATTTATTGGTAAAAAAATCTTATTCAATTCATAATCAAGTTGATGACTTTGATATATTTTATTATTATGTATAGTGAATATGTTAATTGTTATAACTTACACAGTTATTATTTTTGTTTATTTTTGTTCTAATAATATACAGTATATATATATATATATATATTTTTTTTTTAGGTTCTCTATATAAGGCAAATCCAACTCAGTGTTCTTTTGATTTGATTTCAAATAAAATGTTGACTTTAACAATTGATCCAAACCCTAAAGTTCGTGCTAATGCTGTTTATTGCCTTGGAATAATTTATGATTTAAAAATGGTATCATAACTTATTTTAGTTATGTTTTTCTTGTTTTTTTTGTATACTTGAGTTTTATAAATTCTATAATTTTATTTTAATTATTTATAATAGTTTGTGTTAAGAGTTATAAATTATAGCCTAAATAATAATGTTTAAATATTTTGAGTTTATCATGAGTTTTAATATTGAATTAAGAGCTATTATTTTTTTTTTTTTTTTAGAATTTGTTTTATTTACGGTTGTGTTTTTTTTTTTTTTTAATTGTTTATCATCCTATAAAGTATATTATATCAATGATATAAAATGTAAAATTATATTATATAAATGTTTTTGTTGTGATTATATTTTGTTTAAAATAGATTTTATGAATACTAATAATGTGATATATGCAACAGGTTAACACCATTTATATTATTCTATTACTATAATTTGAATACTATTGTACAAATTATTAAATAATCATTAGGAACAACACATCATTGTTGGATTATTTAATTTTTACATTGTGACTAATATTTAATGATAAGAATTATTCAAATCACTAAGACAAAGAAATATTTATTCTAAAGTTTAATTCATATAAAATATATATATATATATATATATATATATATATATGATCACATATAATAACAGAACTATCTGTTAAGACTAATTCATCATTACCCCGTAATGATTTTGAGTACATTTGTTTAACACTTCTTAACGTCCAAGGGAAACTTTTTTTGAAACCTGTCTTTTTTAAAAAAAAAATCTAAAAGTGGTGCTTTTGCTCTAATAATTTATAGTTTCATTGTGTGATAATATCAAAACAATTGATTCGTATTGTAGTATCTGTGCCAGTGTTTCGTTTCTTTTGTTGAATAATGATTTTGTAAATTTTTACACTATTTATCTCGGCTGTTGTTATTGTATTCATTTTTTTAGTTAAATAATAATATTATAGTTGTTAAATTATATCACCTTATTACTATAAATGATAATGATTTTTTTTTTATAAACTTATTCTGTATGATTTTAGTATGTGTGTCAGAGTGAAATCTTGTGATTAATTTTTCGCCATATTTTTGTTCTACTTTAAATGTCTACTCGTGTTTTCGATTCATAAATCAACAAGTATATTAGTTTCAATTTGTCCGACATCTAGAAAGAATTATTAATAATATTGATTAATTAATTGAAACTACTTAATTCTGTAGTACCTGCCTATTGTTAGCCACCGTCACCTATACTATTATTATCTACAAAAAACTTTATGTAAATTAAATTGTTCTTATTTGAATGTTTATAACTTGTTATAAACTAGTTACACATAGAATCATTTGTTTTTATAAATAATGTTGATTAATTGATAACAAAATTATAAAATAGCGTATGAATTAATAACTAAAAACACCACTGTAAATATATTATATACCTTCTTGGTAATTTGAATTAGAAAGTCATAGTATTTAATTACTGTAGTTATTTGAAATGTTAGTCTTTTTTGTTGTTGTTATTAAAATATTATTTTGCAAATTTATCAACTCAAACCATTTTATAATATGTTTTAAGCCATAATATTTTTCTTTGTACAACTGCATTTGATGTAGGTATTACTTAAACATCCTAAACATATTTAAATGTAAATGTGTATACTGTTATATGTATAATGTCCTGAAGGAACGATAAAATGTTATTTGATTCGTTTTCTTACACAAATGTATGCAACATTTTTTTATTTTACCAATTATACAATTCTATATCTACAAATTATTAATTAATTATAAATTATACCTAAGGCGATAAAATATGTTTACAAGGTTTTTTATTTTATGATCAGTATAAAGAATATGTTTTTCTAAGCTCACATTGTTTAGAAATAATTAATGTGTTAAAAATACAATACAACCGTAATTGGAGTCACCAACCCATTGTAACTGTTAAGTCATATTTAATATAAAATTGATTTTAGTTCCAAAGTATACTGTACACCATGTAGGGAAGCACATTTCCAAATAATAATAATCAGAAAATAATTACACTTATTACAAATTTAATCAAATTTGATTCTAATATTATTCCCTATATTTGTTAAGAACAAATCTACACTCCATTCTCCCCAAGTAAAAATGTTTTTAGTTGGGTTTGCATTATATGTCCGTTATGTGATCATTTATAAGTTGATTGCTCAATTTTACTCAATGTTAATTTCACTTTATCAGTTTTCACTTAGTGTATCACATTTTTCAATCATTTCCAAATTGATGGATTTTTACAAGCCAAAACGAGTTAAAAAGTTAAAGTTAAATTCATTTTAACTTTAACTGAACTTATTTTAATTGATATAAACTTAATAAATAACTAGTTACTTTTAATTAAATTCAAGTTAAATTATTTTTAAACAATTAAATTATAAATATAATAAAATTATTATTGATGATGCATTAACATATAATATAATAGAAAATCAGAAATGTAATTAAATTTAACCAGAATTCCTCAAGAAAAATAACTTAAAAATCTATTATTCCATCCCTCACACACGTTGTTGGTTCTACTACTATTCAGTAAGGTACTTTGGTGCAAATTTCACATTGGTGGCGGGGATTGAGGAGGAAGTCGACGAAAACTTAAATCATAATCAGTTCCTATTCTACGCAAAGGATCACTTACATAATCTGAATCAAAATAATTAACTTGGTCCTTTGCGTCTGGAGGAATAATAGCTTTAAGGTAATCCATTGCTTCTTTGATGTGACTTAATGAGAGAAAAGATAAGCTACAAGCACAAAAGTAGCTGAAATATTCATCTGTACGATATTTAATCTCTAAACCTAGTTTTTGTATACGCCTATGGTATAAATGGTAAAAAAAACCCATTAATATTATATTTCGAAATATAAATGTACCTTAACTGTAATAGGTCAATGTAAAGGTTAGAGGTCAAATAATGTCAATGTAATATTTACGTTTATTACATTCGTTCAAAATTATTGTGAATATTTGTTCATACGTCGACTGTGTTTTCTTTGTAATAATGAATAAATTGCAGTTAAATACTCACAATTGTATTTTATACGAATAATATACAGCCAGGGTCGGCCCAAGCAAAAACAGAACACTAGGCAAAATTAAATAACAAATACAATCAATAACTAAATTATTAATACGTGTTAGTCAGTATTGATGAGAAACGCGTTGCTGGATTACATTCCTTTTATAGAAACGAAGCTTGGAACACGTTCTTTTTCAAATATTGAAACATAGAACTGGAAAAAGTTCTTATTTTTGAGGTTGAATGAAAATGTTTGTTCTTCAAATTATGAAAAAAAATACTTTTTTTTAATATTATTTAGTGTTAATAATTTTGTTTGTATCACTCCGTCAGCCGATAATAAATAGCCATGAACCTAGGACGTATCGTAGATATATTAAATCTTTTAAATTAAAAATTAAATCTTTTACCTTAATGAATTTGATATTAACATACAAGGTTTACATATTAACATTCCGCAAATAAAACACATAGAGAAATACGGCCTTCTCATTGGTATAAAATATTTAGCGACCCATTCAAATTATGTAATACTATTATATTGTTGATTACTAAAATTATTATTTTTTAAATTAAAAGCAATTTATGTAATAAATATTTCCAATCTATACAATTTGCAATTGGATACAAGTTATGTGAGTATATAATTATATGTAATCGCATGTGTATTATGTAATTAAACATATGTTCATATTTTAATATTATTATATTGAATTAATACAATAATTAATATTATTAGTAATAATACTTTAATCAGCAGGGCTAGAATTAAATACAAAATATTAATAAATACCTATTTATTACAAAATATACTATAAAACATTCATTTTTAGCATTCTCGTAATTGAAATATGCAATAATATTCATTTTATTCAATATATGTAATAATATGCATTTTATCCAAAATATGCAAAAACATGCAATATAAAAACAATACCATTTATCTCATCATGAGGTGATTCGTGGACATTACTGACAAAATGGATAATCAGAAGTGGCAAAAAAAACATGTTGTTGCATACAAATCCTAGCCCTGATTATTACTAATTGGCATACGTATTCTAACATTTATTATATTATATATAAATAAATTTTTTTTCAATTAAATGCCAAAATATTATAAAAAAATTACACAATAGTTACTAACATGCATTGAATGTATTTTCCATTTGAAACTGATGAACATTCCACTTAGTGGCTGTAAGATTTGAAAATTCTTCCATCCACTTACCAATAGTGGATAAATCTACTCGATTTGAACGTACCTTGGTCACTTCATCATTTGTTTCAATAATTTAATTGTTAAATGAGGAAGGAAGATTACTAGAGTTTAATATAAGATTAGTTTTCACAAAAGTTTAATCAAAAATAATCAAAAATATTGAACAACTCATAAGCATTTACGGAAAATGAACTTAAAATAAATACTATTACTTAGAAAACAAAACCTTTCTAATCATATTTAAAAGGTTTATGTAACTAAAAATAGAAATCATTTTTTGATAGAATTGTTCTATTAATATCTATATAAGTACCTATATAGGAATAATTTGAATAAACAAAGAAATAAACAAATAAAAATAAACTAAATTAATAATGGTAATTAATAAATGCAATATCACAATAGTAAAATTTTATTGAATTTTTTAGTTTACCTATCTTCATTAATCAACCTATCATTATTATCAAGGGTGCCCATAGGAAAATTCTCAAGTGGGGGACAACATTTTAATTATCAATCTATTCATAAATAGGAATGACCCACGATGTAGGAAGAGGTTTACAATTTTACATTATACTATTACATTATATGAATATATATATATATATCAAACTGGAAGACTATAAAATAATAATTATTTAATCAATTTACCATAAAAGTAATTTATTGAAATTTTTATTTAATTAATAATATAAATTGGACACTTAAAACATTAGGTAATTATATTTATTAAAATATTAATTTACAAATATTATATAAATATTATGGTTGTGTACACACACGCATATATATACTGTATTTCTGGAAATACACAATATTTTAAGAATTGATAATTATCCATAGAATAGAAACGAAAAAACGTATTGTTATTTGTAGCTGATAACCTGATTTTCCAAACTAAATAAATAGATTTTTCATAAACAAATTATAGATTTTCATATATTAAATTAAATTTTTAAGTTCTATTTAAATAAATATATTCTGATCATAGTAAACAATTTTCCAAGATTTTTGACATTTTCCAGCGGGGGGGACATGTCCCTCCCTTGCCCCCCCTATGGGCGCCCTTGATTATTATAATACATGTTAGAACATGAAGGTATATGCGGAATATTATGTATGTGATTTAAACGATGATACCACAGAGTGGACATATTTGGGCAGCGAGCCAATAACAGAAAATATTATCTTCAACAGTGATGTAGCAAGGGTATGGCAAACTGTGCCTACGTCAGGGGCGCAAAATTGTGCAAAAGTCGTATTTTTATTCTACAATTAAATCGAAATTTTTCCATTATACTTTTTAAAATACGTAGATGTATATTTGTACACACTATGTGTGAATTTAATGATGAAATTATGAAAATAGGGCATTTAAATAAAAAATTTCATATGAAGAAATTATCGATGAATTTGCTATTCGTAAACCGAGAAAAGCAAATTTCAAAGTTTAAAATTAACACTGCAATAATAACTTATAAGTATAAATTGTATACATAAATATATTAGTAAAATTAAAGGTTAAAAAAAATATCATGACATCAAATTTTAATTGATTAGAAAGGTAACATATTCTAAGTATGCCAGGAGCGCTAGCGAGTCTACTTACGCCACTGATCTTCAATATTGAATCTGGATTTAATTAACCACTCATCAAAAAATGTATTAAACATGAAAATTAGTCGATTATTTCTGGTTAAAAAATTGTCTACAAAAAAACACCATTGAAAATAGTTAAAATCGCATAAAAAAAATGTAAAAGAATGGAAACGCGTTCTTTTTTAAAAAAGAACGGGAACGCTTTCATTTTTTGCTTCTGAAACAAGGAACGTGAACGAGTTCCGTTTTTAGAACAATAACGAGGAACAGGAAGGAATTCCTTTTGAAAATTAACTTTCCCAACACTAGCGTTAGCTTGATAGGTGTAAGAAACTATCGAACATTTCAAAAACTAGGTATATTTTACACCACATCTATCTACAGGCAAAAATCTGAAAACCGTTAATATTTGTTCGGAACCCTGGACATGCAAGTGTAAAAGTCGTACGTGGCCGGATTTTAATAAATTAGAGCTTGAACAACATATCGGACATTCCAACATACAATAACATAAATAAAATATTTAATACTCACACAGTTGAATGTAGGTAAACGTATCGGAAAATTCAAATTTTCATAAAGTTATACAATAATTTCATAACTACTACACGAACTTATTTGCACAAAAATCACAGTTACGAAACAATGTGAACTAAACAACTGAAGATCCACGAATAAATTTTTCTTTGAATTGTCAAAGCATCACGTACGTTCTTAAAGGGACTAAAGGGACGTAATAACAATATTGAACGTAATATATATGTAATAGAAGTCATTCTTGCTGATTATAAGTCATAAACAATCCAAGCACAAAATAAAATACAGGGAATGCTCGCAAATCAGTATAGACGGTGTTGCCATTCGCTACAAAATATCATTCAAAGAAAGAGGATTCCACGAATTCGTCACAGAATAAGTAATGAAAAATTCCGTGCTCTTTTCAATCGGTCCGAATTTACAGTTGCGTTAAAAACATGAAGTGGTTCAAATATTTACAAAATATATTTTATTATTCACTGTGAAATTTTGCCGACCTCTAAAAAGTGCCACCACTACGCTACGCCACTGGGAATATCAGAATATACGAGTACAATAACGTCAATAATAGTGTACGGTTTGATAAAGTCGATAAGGATAAAATTTCGCAGATGTGAACATTTTTGAAGGAATACGCAACGGGTTAACTACAATAGTAAATGATAATAATAAATAATAACAATTTATATAGGACAATAGTAAAAAGTAGTAAATACTAAAAGTAACGCTTAACATTTTTTTTTATACCGTCTGTATAAAATAATTTTATACGTAAAATGCGTTTAATTCCTTGTATAGAAGTGTTTTATACCATTTTATACGACTTGCATCTCTACAAAATAGTAATAAATTATGATGAATAGAATAATTTCATTTTGGATCCTCAAAAATAATTTAATCGATTAAAAAGTTCCGGTATTTGACCATGTTAGTAACGTTAGGGTTCTTTCGATTTTAAGGGTTCCGGTTTGGACCCAGTCCCTGTTCGACAGCCCTAGGGCCACATCTCGTTGAAATCCGACGTAATCATACAAACCAGGTTTATTGGGTTGCCTACATGTAACATCTACAGGGCCGTTCAGAGGGAGGGGGGCCAACGGAACCATTTTGTCCCATGACCCATTGTTGAAATATTTTTTAGGGGGGCCCATAAATTCTTGATGTATAATAATTGATAATAAAGCCTCGATTACATTGAGCAATTTTACACGCAGCGTGTTGGCGATTAAAGCGATACGCGACGTCGTGTGAGCGTGTAGCGACTTGTCTGATTACACCGAGCGATTAAACTATAAATAATATGAATAATATTCAATTCTATTATGTAGGTAATGCAGTACATGAATTTAAATGAGCTTGGTTGGTTAAGGTTTGGAAAAATACGTTTGCAAGAATTTTGTTATTCTCAGTAAGTATTTTGTTCATCATATCTTATTATTAATTATGGTCGAAGGGCCCACAAATTAATTTGCCCCTGGTCCCAAAAAACCTTGGGACGGCCCAATGTTATTCTCTGACGCCTGCCGGAAATCCCTAACCCGTACGAGCAGTACAATTACACGTGAGTACACGCACAGCAAATCCATGGTGGCACGACGCCGTATCCAGCGGAACGATTTTATTCCTTGAAGCGTGTTGCCGGTCGAATCGTAACGTTTTTATCAACACCGAACGATTTGATTACCCTTTTTTTTTTTCCTTATCAGATGTTGGGAATTTTCGAGATGACACGCTATCAGGTATCGTGGTACCGTTATTATTTGGGTGGTTAAAAAAAAAAAAATGAATAAATAAATAAAAAAAATCCGTTCACGTTTGCGTAGTAGTATCAGCTCGTTTATCCGGTACTTAATTCGGAAGCGAGACACGACATCGGCTCTTCTTCATCCGTACTGCAACGAGCCACACCACCTACTCTCCACCCGCACGGTCGTACCGCGGGACGACGCGTCGCGTCGGACAACTGTCGCGTCCCAGTGAACGACGGTCCCGGCGAACGGCACAACGTACGAGTTCGATCCGCACAGATCCGTCTTATCATCGTTGCCCTGCAGCTTCGCAGTTCGCACGCAACAAACCGATTGCGATATTGGGGCCGCGCTCTCGGCTTCTCGAGGGTTTGTTATTTATTTATTTTTTGTTGTTATTTAATCCTATTATACGACCATCGTTCTTCGGTTGTATCCATTGTTTTTTTTTTTTTTTTACCACTACAATCGTCGTTGCCGTAATCGTTGTTATAAATATAAGCGTTATTGTTTTTACTGTTTTCATCATAATCATCGTTGTCCTTCCGTATCGCGTTCTTAATGACCGAGATCACCCCAAGCCTCTCCCGGAATCGAATATCGTCGTTCAGTGTCTTGCACCATTTCTGCAGCAGCCCTTCGATACTACACTATCACAAGTATGTACATTATGCGTCTGCATTCAGCTTTGTTGTACCGATAAATGTAACGTCCATACAGTGTCCGAGGACATCAACGGCCGGTCGGCACCATTGTATTTATTCTAACCATAATCGAAAAATGTCCGATTGATGCACACAACTCAATAGATTATTGTCGTATGCTATTAGTGACAGTTTAAGGTACTTGGCCTGTACTTCTCCATTTTTATTTTTCCTTTGTCTTTGGTCAGTACTTAACAGTATAATATACATTTCATAAGAGATAAGTTCGTCAGGATACATAGTTTTAAGCGTTATATATCTCATAAGTATTGTGATTTATTTATTTAAAGTTTTATATCCAATCCTTCTGTTGAAGTTGAATTTTGGAGTAATTTTTTACTAACCTGTTGTAAAACTCAAATTATGTCTTTGAGTACAATATTATTGTGTATATTTGATTGCAACATTTTCTTCTGAAAGTTTCTAATATTAAATGTAAATACTATTTAATAATTAATATGTATATTAGATGCGTAATTCAATTTAGAAAAATAAAATATTTTATGAGATTATTATCATATGAATATTATTCCTTACTTTAATATTTTTACATTCAATTTACTTATGGCCATTTTAAGTTTGTGGTAGAAATGGTAGATTATTTGTTCAGTTTAATATTGGAAGACACATGATACCTATTTAAAGAGTAACAATAAATTTGGCAAACTAACTTAGTTCATATGTTTATTGAAATTATATTTGTGAGATACATTTGCGTATAAAAATTTGTTAGAAAATTAGTGATATATTAGTAAGGCTGGATTAAGAGTGGTAGCCCTGGGGCTCAAACAATTTTAAGCTGATACTCATTTTTATCGTATTAAAATTAGTAGTTTTTTAGACATAAATTGTATATACCTATTAATTTTATAATTTTATAATGCAATTGATAATTTGTGAAATAGTTAAAAAAAATGTATCGTTCTGCGAGCATAGGGAGCAGCTTTGTAAATTATGTTTTGTTAAAAGGCCCATATAAAATTTCAGCCACAGGACTCAATAGGTGCTTAATCCAGCCTTGTATATTAGTGAGTATAACTATATTTAAGTATTATTCATATGCAACACATTTCATTAATATTCATCTGTGTATTGTGTTGATAAATACTTAATAGGTATTTGATAGAGATATATTTTCTTATATCTGTTATATTATTTGTCATAATTACTCCAACTGGTTCTCTTAAAAATGTATATCATACATTAATTTCTTTATATTTGTTATATGCAAATCCATTATAACTCCTTATTACATTTTTTTTATCCTGATATACTTATTTTATGCTAAAATGCATAGAACCATTAACTAAATAAGATAAGCAAAAATAGGTATTCGGGAAGAATAATTAATATATCTTATCTTTTCCATTTATTATATATTTCTTCAATACATTAAAAAAAACAATACCATTGATTTCATGTTATTATAATATTATAAGTTATTACAAAAATAAATAATATAAATATTAGAAACCACACTTATAAGAAACGGATTTAAATTTAAATGCATATATTTATTAGTATTAATTATTTGAAATCTGATATGAAATATCTCTAATATAGATTATTCTTACTAAAACAACACCAAGTATTTTAATGTTTTTTTGCATATTAAATGCAAATTTGTTATTTTTAATGTATATTTTTCTTTAAAGCACATATTTATATTTTATCTTATATTTTTCAATTTTCTTATTTACAGTCACATCAATTTGTCAAATTATTTGAAAGCATATGATAATTTTAATCAGATTAAATTATAAACAGTTAAGTGTAAGATATTTTTTTGTTTGAGAATAATTTTGGGGAAGATTGAGAATTTATAGGCGAAGAAGATATTAAAGAAAATATAAAATCAATGACCAAAATATGTAGGAATTAACTAACTTGTTAAAAAGTTGTAAGTAAATATTTTCAATAGTATTATTTGAAATATTAATTAAATATAACCACATAAAAATATAAAAATTACAAAAATTATTTGAATTAAACTTAATATTTTATTACATTTTAAATAACATAGTTATAATATTATAGACACAATAAATAATAATGATAATCAGGGCTCGAAAGTTCTAGCAAATACATATTTTTATTGGACCATCCTAGAACATCCAAAGATACAAATATGTTTCTCACTACTCGGATACCATATACAAAATTTAATTTTGCTATTTTTTTTGCATATTTATATGTTTTATTGCTATTTTGCTAATTTAGGGTTTATAGTGCTATCTCGGGTATATTTTCACACAATGTAGGAAATAATCACATTTTGTTGATAATAATTGTATTTACTTAGTTATGTTTTTAAAAATATTTTTATTATTGGAAATAAATATACCTCATCAAATATTATTTTATGTTTTCATTGACAATTTGATGTATTAATAGTTAGTTTTTATTCTCTTATTATATCATTGCATTAAATTATCAATCATTTTAATAATCTAGGTTAATTTCCAAGGTAAATATATAAAATAATTTAATAATAAGTACATCTTTACAAATATATTTAAGTAATTTAACATTTTTGTTAACAGTTTATAATTCAATCAGTCCAGACTGTGTCTAATAAGTCAAACAATTTGTAAAATTACATTTTTTTCAAGTTAAATGTATATTTTTTTGATTTTTCGTGCTATTTATAGCACATATTTTAGAATTTTTAACTGCATATTTAAGAGCTAAAAGTAACATTTTTAATGCTACAACTTCCAAGCTCTGATGATAATAATAATAATAATAAAATTTGAATTTACATCTATTTATCCATTATTGATGCCTGAAATGAGACCGTATTCTTTCTTTTGATTGACTTGTTGAGGTGTTAAATTGAAATAGGTTTTGAAAATTTCTTTAATTAACTGTATTAAATGATTGTTGATTAGATCTTGATCGCAGATGTGATTAGAAATACTTAAAAAGTATTTGTTGATATTTATTTTAGAAAATTATTTCATTATAAATGTATCTCTTATGTGTTATTGAGCATTTTCTTGTAAAGCTACAATCTATTTTAAAAAATCCCATCTAATTTCTTGTTCATTCTTGCCATATAATGTTTGCCAATCACTAAGTATATTATGACAGAGTTTCAGCATGTGACATGGATCCAAAAATACAAAAAAATTTTCATTGATGATCGAATGCAAGATGTATGTTTTTACATCTGAAGGATACAGTTTAGCCCCATAGTGTAGTAGCCATTGAAATATTAGATGCTACTCTGTCAAATGTCAATGTCTTCATCAGAACACCAATATCATGCACAATGGATAAGGCTGTTTGAATCCAATTTGCTTTCTCTGCTCCAGACAAACCATTAAGTAAAAATAGCTAGTTGCGATTTTTCAATTAGATTTAATTGCCAGTAAAACCAGATGATCCGTCAATTACAGCATACCATTTGTGTAATGTTGATGAATGTGGAAGACATTTATTAAAAATTGTTAAAAAAAATTTTTTTTGAATAAAAATTGAGGGCTAAGGCAAAAATCCTAAGTTCTGCTGAAATCTTCTTTTCTGTGTGACATTTTAATTGTTTCATAATCATTAATCTTTGTGCAGTTGGAAGATTCTTCTAATGTAAGTTTTTGCATTTAGTAAAATATTTATGAAGAATATTAATGCATTATAATAATATAGTATATTATATACTTATATAAGATTTTTTGGAGGTAAATTGGGTTACAGTTTTTAAAAGGTTATTAACCACTGGTCTAATGTGGTCTAATGTCTATACCATAAAAACAGTGAAACAGCTATCAGAAATTTTTTTCTTTTAAGATGATTTATCAACTGGGATAGATTTTTGATCTTCTTTCTTAGCCATGCATTTTTATTCTGCAATTTTTTTGTTCTAATTTTTTAAAGTTTATTACTGTATTTTAAGATATATCCCAATATTGTATTGGGTTTTGTTGGAGAAGTAAGGTTATCAATTTTAAAATCACAAAATTAGCTTTTTCTTTTCCTAGAAAACAAATAAAATTGTTATCATTAATAAATAATATCACTAAAGAAGAGAATAAGTAGGACTACAATATTTTTGCAATTAAAAAGTAGTACAATTAATAGTAATATTGTACTATCAAGACATTTATTCTTAAGAATGCAACGGTATAAATCAATAAATAATAATACATTAACTTACTAAGCAAATTACAGTAAAAATGAAAATAAAAAAAATAAATGTATACATGGTTGTAATTGTGTTATTTTTATGTACTAACATTGATTATAAATATATAATATTATATAAACAATGGTATTAATTATTTAATTTTGAAAATGATTACATACACATTTTAAAGTTATTTAGAATGGCTTAAATAATATTTAAATAATCAGTATTTTTTTTTTTTACTTACATGCTATGTTATTTGTTTTGTAATAATTTGTACATCTTCAATAGGTGAATAAGATACACACAAACCATCATTATTTTTAGTTGGTGTAACTAATTCTTCAACTTCAATATGAGATGGTTCTGGAATATTGAAACTATCATATAGTAGATCCAAATATGATAATGAATTGCCACTATTGCTTATATTTTTTGCAGCAACTTGAACATCAATGCAAGATGGTTCATGTGTATTCACACTACCATATTCATCATTGAAAACATAAACACATTCTTCAATTTCAAATAACAAGGGAACTGCTTTGTCATGAAATGAAAATGTATTAGATCTAGTAGTTTTAATAAAATCAATTTCTTAAAAGTGATTGTTACACACTAAACTGCTTTTATAAGTTTTAAAATTAGGATAGTAAGTTTTTATACGCTCTACCCATATATTTCTTAGATCTTCAACCATTGGAAACCTATAATATATTACTTGTGTAGTTTAATGTTGCGTTGTTTTGATGCAACACTTTTACAAAGTGGAATCGAGCAAGTCTGAACCATTATGATTTATGTATAACAATTTATAAATAATAAAAAGACAACAGAACACTAAACAACAAACACAAAAATAATCAGTTATAATAAAAAATAAAAGACTAGTCACTACTCAATGAGTCAATCAAATATATTTTATTATCAGTTACTGTTATGTTTGTTATCATCCGTGATAGTCATGTACATAACATAAAAAATAATTTATATTTTTCTTCCGGTTACTTGTTTTTGTCTATCTGATATTGTCTGATTAATTATTACCCAAAGCGTAGACCATTTAGTTAATGCTAAAATGTATAGACATAAAATTATTTTAAAATGTCTTTTTTTATTTAAACTCTATGTTGAGAACATTTATTTTAATTTTTAAACTTTTGTATCATTTAGTCATCATTTAAGTTTTTATAAAATAGATTAAAAATATATTTTTTTACTACTTAAAAAACTTGTTAATATTTACTACTTGTGTTTTAAACATATTTATTTTATTCAGTTTCTTTGTAAGTTACAATTGATTGATAATTCATCAATAAATATTTTAAATTCTTATCCATCAGTAACTATAATAACCAGGGCTCAAGATTTTATGCATTTGCATATTTGTTTGGGAAGTATATAGAATAAATCTGATACGGTACAAATTTGTGTTGTGGTGTTTGGAGTTGAAGTTTAAAAGTTTATTATGCATATTTTTGCATATTTTAGATTTTTTTTTCTTCAATTGCATATTTTTTAGATATATTGATTTAAACTTGCATATTTTAAAATAATTTCTGATAATTTACTCGTAAATCAATTTTTTTGGTTAATCAAAAATATTAATGTAAAATTTTCATTGTTGACACGTTTTAAAAATGTTATTTAGAAAACAAAACGCGCTGATAAATGATTTATCCTAAATTAGTTTTTATCTATATGAATTCGTCTGCAATAATGCCGACAAGGCGATACTCAATAGCGTTATTCTGTTTATTTTATTCGGGAACCCATTTTATTTTTAACTCTGAAGACGATTTTATTTTTATTTATCTTTCTTTCACAGTATTATTTTGTCTGCCTCGATAATCGACGAACCTCAGACGTGCAAGATATGTTTTTTTTTATTTAAATTTGTATTAGTAGGTACGTCTTTTTTAAGTAAAAATAAATGCATATTTAAGCGCATATTTTTAAGATTTTAAGCACATAAAGTCCCAAGCCCTGATAATAACCATTGCCTTGAATGTTTTCAATAATATAAATTGCTAAATATATTTTATTTTGATAAATGTACTTGTGTATATACCTATATACATTGGTTTATTTTTATTTTAAAATTGTTTTTTTGTCACTTAATGGATTTATAAGAGAATATGATATTTGTCTATTTATATTATTTTTGTTAAAATAGAATAAGAGATCATTTAAGTTATAGGCTTAAGCCTAAATTAATATTATTATTTTTTGTTATCGTTGATAGGCAACATAGTGTGATTATATGGAAATGCTATCAAATGGATATGGATGTATCAAAAAGCGTTCCAAGACACTAAAGCAATCCTTGTTTGATTGGATACTACATAAGTTTAACGTAAATAGTAAAATATAATTTTTCTGATATCCTAACTTAAAAAATATTAAATTACTAACACTACTTACTAAATACTTACTAACACTAATTTTTTATAAGAGTTCATCATTTATGATAAAAAGTCTTTATATTTAACACTAAACAGGCTTAAATTGTCTTTCTATTTCACTTTACAGCTTTATTTGTAATATTTTTTTTCTACTAAACTAAATAAAATTTAAAAAATTCTTCTTTTCAACTGGGAATTGTTTAAAGAAATTCTATCTAGATTTCTAATTTATGATACGCTTTGAAAAATGTATAGTTTTCTCTCTATAATCACAATAAGGAAACTAAAGGAATTTGCTCACAACTATGTTGTTGGAATTTTTGTTGTTTAATTTCTTTACTCCTTATCAATATAAGAAAATTTCAGCTGTGATAAATTATCAACTGCTATTATTATTGTTGGTAATTTGTAAATAAATATGAATAATTTTATTGAGTTGGATATATATTTAAGTATACAACTGAAATAATATTTTGTAAACATTGTAATTTATAGTTGTATAGTAGTTTTTTGTACTGTTATAAATTATCCCAAATTATACTTTTTTAAAAATATGGTAGTATAAATAAAAAATAAAATAGTTAAATGATTTATTTTTTACTTAAATTACCATATTGAATTGGCATTTATTATTTAAAATGTAATATGTATATAATACATTTATCTTAATTTGTATAGTTACTATAAATTTAATTCTAGAAATGTAATGAATAGGTAAAGTATAAGTACTTTCATAATTAATAATTATTATTTTATTGAAGTATTTTGAAATGTAATAATAAAAACGTTTCATAGAAATATATAAAATAAAGATTTTTTAATACATTTTAATTTGTTCATAATTTCTTTGGTAAAATTTGGGTTAAGTTATTACATATATATTTGATGTATTTTAATTTTAATAATAAAACTAATCCGGAATATATTTTTATTTTTTAAAATTATGAACTATTGTGATAGATTTTTTATTTATTTGCTTTTAATAAGTTCTTGTAATGTGAATTTTTCAGACAACAAAAACAAAAAATAATAATAATTGAGTACATTTATAAAATGTTTTCTTCTCTATTGAATATTTTATTTGTAAATTATTTACTATTATAGCTGATGGTGGTTTTTAATGTGCTTCTATATCAATAAAAATATATTAAAATAAATATTATCAATTATTTATTGATTTTTAAATATTTTTTAGAGTTTATTGATTAGAACAATGAGTGAAATACCTACAGCATCAACATCAACAGCATCAACATCATCAGCTTCAACATCACAATCTAGTCCTTTTTTGTTTCGCTTAGCCCATCAAGATATAGACAATTCAACAACTGACGATTCATCAGAATCATCATCTGAAGTATCAACTGAAAGCAGTTTTGATGAAGATTCGTCAGATACTAGCACAATTTCTAGCACCAGTGACGAAAGTGACGACAACATGGATGATAGATCTTGGTCATCCGCTTCATCAACTACTGTATCATGTGATGATAAATTAGGTTCCAATAATTCTGATTCAGAAAAAACTATTTTAAAAGAGATGATCAAAGAAAGCTTGTCTAATAAATCATTAGGCAATGATTTAAACCAAGATTCAACATCTTTACTTGTATTCCAGGTCCAGGTACTAATTTAAAACAGTAAATTATTAGAAATACTAAGTATTAATAATGATGTATTATCTTATTTTTAAATAAAGTTAGACCATAATTTTTTTCTATACCATTCTATTATCTATAGCTACAATATAATTAAAAATGCAATACTATAGATTATACTTATGTAATATAATAAGTTGGAGTCATGTCTTACTTTTATTTATTTATTTATTTATTTTTCTTTTGTATTATTATTTAAAATAACAATAGTGCCATCTTAAAGTTTGATATGAAAACATTATTGTCATTTTTATTTTATATCTAAGTAAATTTTGATTCAAAATTGTTTCTTAATTAATAAAACTCATCAAAAAAATGTGTTATTAATTGCTTAATAATATATTTTTATTTTTACTATTTTTTCAAAAGCAATCTTGCGAAACTGAAGGCCAGGTAAATATATTTTATGTGTTAAGTCTTCTAATGTGTCTTTAAATTTTGTTATTTAATAATGTTTAAACAAAAATACAGACTTTATAATGATTTACAATTATTCAAGAAAAAAACACTCAAACTATCTTAAATGTAAAATAATTTAATAATGTGTTAATAGATTTGATTTAAAAAAATAGTTTACAGTATAGTTTAGTTTTTATTACAGCTTTTTTGTTTGTTTTAGTATAGTTTATAATATAATATTCAAAATAAATAAATGAAAGAAAAGTATAAAATTTTTAATTATCTATTTAGCAATTTTCAATTTAACTAAATTAACTTTAATGGTATAAGTTAAATTGCATGAATTGAAAGCGAAATTTAGTCCAATTTATTTATTACTTGAGATATGCAACCCTAGTATAAACAGGAGTAACTATTATATATTACCTTATTGATACAAACAACGTTTTAGAACATTAGAGTTATATTTCTAAAAAAAACCTCGTCAGTATAAATATTAAATAATCTAGCCTATTTACCACTTAATTCACTAATAATTCATGTTTTATATTATATTTTTATACGTAGATTCAATTAATCAGAGTTTAGTTTCCCTATTATACTCTATATTACAAGAACAAAAAACATATTTTTTCTCAGAGTAACCTAACTGCCCATACCAATTAGACTTATTTCAAATTACTTAATTTTATGAAAGAAGTATACCTTGATAGTTAAATAATCACTTTTCACCATTGTTTATGTAATAAATGCATTATAAAATTATTGTATGATTTTAGGTTCATGGATTTGGAGTAGACCTTATCAATGTGGAAGAACATACAAAAAGACTTAAAGAACTCGAGAAAGAATTAGATTTCATAGAATCAACAGAATGGATGTACCGACCAATAGATTCATGCATTAGATAACGTCAGCTTTAATCCCATTTCAAATTCGTTAATTGACAAAAAGTTTTTAACAAAAATTTGAAATTTTTAATATTAAAAGTATATGTATATTTATGAGGGTTTATAATGGTTAATAGTTGTGTGAATTTAAATTTATTGTATTTTAATTACCAATAAAATGTTTTGATACTTAGATCAATTATAATTATTATTTATTTATATCAGTGATTCGTCGAAGCCTGATTTTTTAAATGAAAGCGAACTTGAACTGAACCAAACCTTCATATTTTCTACTGAACCGAACTGAACCGAACCTATTATGATTTTAAGTCGAACTCAAACTCAAACTCAAACTCAATACTTTTTATCATGTACTTTGTACCTACCTACAAATTAAATCAACCATAATAATTAATTACTATTGTATTTTAAGTTTTCATATTACCTATTCTACATTTTAACCTTGAGGTCTAAGTAATTGTATTATTTACAATGCATTTAAATTTTAGATAATTTCTTATTATTATTATTATTATTTTTCAAAACCAGTATTATGCTCTCTCGTGTTGTCTTTTAGCTTATAAAATATTCATTAAGTATCGAGTATTGAGTGTAATATGACAATATAATCAGTACATTTTAATAATATATAAAAAAATAGTAATAATAACTAATTCACAAATATAGAATGATTAGTAGAATTTATAATGTAAGACGTAAGTTGTAAACATGTTTTTATTAGCAGCACAGTCACGGTATCGGAATATTACCATGGATTTACCCAAAATAGATTTTAACCTCTACAATAAATATGATAAAAACAAAAATAGCTAATTTATGAATGTAGATACACTGCTTCTATTGACGATAAACAACTTATTAATGTTTTGGTCGGCGGAGTGTGGATGTATAACTGCGACTGGAAAAATAACATTATTATAATATAAATAATGTATAACGTGCCCTTTACAGATTATCACTTTCTATCACCAATAGTCTAATTATCTTTACAAGTTCGATTTTTGAACAGTAAAAGATACTTGATAGTTCGGTTCGATTTTTTTTCATGCCGAGTTCGGATTTCGAACCGAACAGTTCGACCCATCACTAATTTATATATATATTTGTTAAAGCTGTGGAGCATAGCATGTTATAAGGAGTAGTATTTAGGCATTTTATACGACATGTACATTTAGACTGTGTCATTGTGCATTCTGTGAGTAGTAAATGAACATTAGAACCCAATTAACGAAAAATTATTACTTAATTACGCAATTTATTTAACTTAAATAAGTAAAAAACATATTTATATACTTTAGTTATATGTATCAGCCATTCCTAATCAATTAGTTATATTATCATACTATTCATATAGAATTGAGGTTCCATCAGTGGCGCCCACAGGTTTTCCAGTGCAGTTATAATTATAGGACTCCAAAATTTATTTTGGTCTACATTCATATGACTTTTGTGTAGTTCTTTTTTAACACCTGTCTGTGTTTTGAAAGTTACTCTTGTTTTTTATTTAATTTTTCACTAAGTATGGACCCGATAAAAAGCCCAATTCATTATTCACAGCTACGCGTAATTTGATTTCGTTTTAAAACGATCACCATTAACGAAATTTGAAATGTGTATTTTACATATAATCAATGCCATAAATACGGATTCAAGAGGGGGGGGGGGCGATTGCCCATCCTCACCATCTAAAATTCGCCCATGGTCTTCGGTATAATAATGGGGTCGACTCGATGTTTTCGCGCGACTTATACTTAGTAGTATCTAACCAGCTAACCTTATTTATTAATCCTAATCTTTATTACGACGTCGAAATAAAATAAAATGATAAATTTTATTTTAAATTATTGCTTTAACGAAAATATACAATTATTATTTGATACAATTTATAGTCCATAAACTATATTCATGGCTAAAATGTTTCTACTTTTAAAAATTTCGGGGAAGGGGATCCGGACCCCTGGTACCCCTAGTTACGGCCTTGTACATAGTACATGCAAGTAATTTCTAAATAAAACTATTAGTTTACTGTATGTGTATGTTAGCACTCAAAACAGACATTTTATTAAATATATTTGAGTTTTGTTTCTATATTCAACATGAAAATTAATATAGGAGATGGCCTATGTAGTTGCCCCCATTGTTCAGATACCCATGTAAGCAACTATGGTACTTCTGATTTTTCAATGTAATCACTCTGCCTTCAGCTCTGTTTTGGTTTTTATTTTTATTATGATAATATTATCTTTTTACATGAAAACAAAAAAACTAAAATTTGTTGATTTAATGTATGTTTCTTTAATACGCAAATTAGTACAATAAATAAATAAATAAATTATACATTTTAATATAAATAGATAAAACATAATAATTATAATAATAATTCCTTAGGTGTAACAATTGAATAAAAGTATGAAATTTACCTACATACATAAAATATTTAAAAAACAAAAAAAAATGTATCTTACTTTACTTAATATACTTAATAAAGGAACAACAATGATTTTAGTTTTCCACAATGAATAACAAAACTTTTTAATGTTATGAAAAATATATTTATACACTCAGTGCTTTAAATAATTTCTGACAACTCTATGTTATTATAACCAAGTGCAGTAAAACCTTGGTTAACAGTCTGAAATGGAACCAAGTGAATGACGGACAAAAGAAAAAATGTATACTTATTTTTATGGTTAAATTTTATGTATTTGTATATGTTATGGTTATGACGTTGAAATACAACAATCCAAAAAATAGAAAAGAAAAAAAGAAAAATTTTAGTTAGTTCATGTCAGTGGTTTTTAACCTTTTACAAATCACGACTCCCAATTTTTAGTTTTTTTTTTTTAATGCGGTCGCTACGAATAATTAATAATAGAATATTAAAATGTTTTGAATACCTATACTTAAATAAATAGAAAAAAAAAGTTAAAATAAATTAAATAAATAATATGCAAATGTATGTTAATAATTTTCTTGTTTTAATGGGAAACTTTGCTTGAATTTTCGAAATTGTCCATATGGAAAGATGAACATGAAGTTTCCATATTAGGTTTTATTTTAGAAACTGGTGCTCTTAAATCTGGTTTTCTTACCATACTTATTATTACATGTTATACTTGTAACTAAAATTATTTAAATACATGTGTACGGTACGAGTGTAAAAATAACCAGATATTGAATACCGATCCGATTAAGATCGGTGACCACAATCGCTGAAAGTTAATAGTCCATCGTTATATATAATTATGCTACACGTTATTTTATTCGATATGTTATTGCACTTTCGTAATAAATAGATTGAATTAATACATTTTGGTATGAATAACCATTTGTTCATTATTCTTTTGGAAACCACCGAACTATCTTTCGTAACTTCCAGGTCGAAAACCACTGGTTTATATGAATCCTGGGCATTTTCCGTAGATAAGCTTTTTTTTTTTACAATTCACGATACCATTACGATGGTGGGGAGATCTGGAAGATCTAATTATTTTTTTTGGATTACATTAAAGGGGAATTTTTAAATATTTCACCTGTGTTGCTATTTTACCTTACGTTGGTCCAGAATATTTTCAAATGTATGATTGGTATTATTAGTATTACAGTTAAAGAAAAATAAAGGCCATCGAATTGGAGTTGAATCGATCAATAATTTATTACATTTTTTCTTGTGCAAAAATTATTTGCAATTATTAAACCCTAAAATTGTAATTCAATCACTCCATCATTCGATACGACCCTGTTCAGTTAAAATACGTACATTTTAAACACTATACGTCGTTGAAAATATATTCCTAATTTTTTTTAACTTTGAATATTTTATAAACACAAAAATTTTTTAATGTTTTCGTCGTGGTCACTTCAAAAACGATGACACTCGTATAACTTAAGTGATACACGACAAATATGATCTATGGTTTTCAAAGTTTCGTAATGTGAATGAATTACATGTATTCTCATTTCTTAACTGTTATAAAATCATAATTACCTAATTTAGATAAATTTGGTTGATAAAACTTTAGCATTTAGTGTCGATACCAAATATGTCATCAATTACTTTACCCTTGTTTAGGAATTCTAATAAAATAATTTCAATTTTAGAACGAGTGATTTGTAAATATCGATTAATGTAGTAATTATGTCCTCAGAGAGTAATTTAAATTTAAATATGAATGAAAAATTGAGTGAAATTGTTTACTCATTTTGTAAAAGCACTGTTTTGATAATTTATATTTTTAAATAATTTAAATAATTTATTGTTTGTAACTAGTGTCTTCATAGTGTTAACACAAATATCTTAAAAACAAAAATAGTACACTTAATAAATTAAAAGTAATAATTTGTTTTCAAATAGACAAGAAAATAGTCAAACCTAGCTAATTGATAAATTATTTTTATATTATATTTACGTATATTAAGTCCTAAGCTTTAATTTTATTGACAGTTAATACAAAATCGGCTAATAAAGTACAAAATCAAATCAAATTAAAATCCTTGAAGCATTCTATTTTGAAAATTTCTCACCTGGGTTTTTTGATCGTCTAACTGACATAATAACGGCTATAGGATAAGTGATCAGAAAATAATATTAACGTGTGTAAAAATCGTCAAAAAAAGTAATTTATAGAAAAAAAAATTTACTTACATGCCTATACCCAAATAATAATAATAATAATAATAATAATAATGATAATAATGTGTATTGTTCCTTCAAATATAGTATAGGTATTAAAATATACTACTTATAACAGGAAAACGTTTTTGGCTCGACGGGTTTGACCACGCAGGTACACGACGTGCACATGGTTGAAATTTTTCTATTTACAGTTTTAATATTTTCATCGGTACGCGTTATTTTTTTTATTCTTTTCTCCGTCCCTTCAACCGATCTACGATTCGAGTATACCAACGCGCCTCGTACCTGGACACCAGGTCCTGCGGAAATCACTTATAGTAACTGCGGCCTCCCCAGGAAACGGGACCCTGGGCAGTGGATGCGTACTCATTGATTGCCGCCTCGTAAAGGGACGCTGTCGTGCGACTGTCCCGCGACTTGTTTGTCGTGCACAGCCAACAGACGAATATTACGAACAGCTGAAGCAGCGCGAACGTGACGAGTAGTAGGGCGAACGCGTACGTGTTCCAGTAGACGGTTTTCTGGTCATCCAGGCTGGAAAAGTTGATCTCTTGGCCGGGCTCACCCTGTTGGGCTTCGAATTTGAACTTGTCCTCGATCCGAATCTGTTGAAACACCATTTCGTCCGTTTGGTTGTTCGCACTCCGTCTGCGACGCCGTCTGCAAGAACGAATGAAACGATCATGATGAGTGAATGGTCCAACATTATTTTCTGTACAGTAATTATGTATCGAGGAAGAGTGTAACGTTAATCGGGAATGAAATGACAGAGAAGGAGAAAGAGAGAGAGAGAGAGAGAGAGAGAGAGAGAGATAGTTTTTTTTCATAATATTTAAAATTTAACTCAAAAACGGTATTTAAATTGACGTAATTCGTGGGTGTAATGAATGTTGTAATAATATAAATTTTAGAATATGTATATAATAATATTATGCTATATATTTACTATAATTAAGTAGTTACAATATAAAGTACTATTAATAACGAACATTGTTTTCAAATCTACAGATGTCATCGCCTGTATGTAAGGGGTTTTGTATAGGCGATTTAACAGCATGTAATAACATTTTATCCAGAAAATAAACTAAAGGTTTGAAAATATGATCGAAAGTCATTATGTTTCAATGGCTCCATCAGGAGAATCTCACGGATTCTTACGGATATCTATTACGGAAAAAAATTGATTAATAGCAAATCGTGAGCTTACGAGGAACGTATTAGTTTTCCGCTTTTTTCCTATTAACTCTTTTTTGAGTAGATCAATTTAGGGTCACCTGGTCCTAGGTGTTGTTGACTAGACTCTTGTCATTAGAACACTTATTTTAATATCTAATTAGAACTTAGATAGTACGATTACGTCTTCCTAAATAAATTAATAGCTCTTATTTTTAAAAACATTTTTAACTATTTTTCTCATGTTGAGGATATTATCATGACTTTTATTTTTATTTTTTATTATATTTATATTAAAAAATAGGATAATAAACTATGACATACAACAAATACATCACAAAATATTATTTATGTGTTTATAAAATATTTTTCTTTTTTTAAAACTTTAAAGTCTACAGTTTACAGGAATGAAAATTAACTTTAAATTATATTATTTTACTACATTTACTAATAAATAAAAAATAATGACGGTTAAAAAAAATAAATATTTTCTGCACTCAACTATTAAAAAACTTGTGTGTGGTTGTAGCTGTAAAATAATTCTTTAGGGCACAAATATCTAGATGCTCAAATTGATGTTTTTAAATTTTAAATATTTCGATTCGTCATAAATATCTTAATCATTGTTATTTATATCGGAAAACTGATTCACAAAATTAAATAATTAAATATAAGTAAGTACAGTTCGTGAAATATTTTAATTTTTCATATTTAATCAGGGCTTAAATTCTAAAAAAAAAAAAAATACCACAGGTAGATTGCCAATCTGTTAATACACTACTCTCATAATCACACAAACCTAGCAATAGTAACACATTGCCTAGTCCAGATAGTAATTTAAAAATAAATATGGAATTAAATTTATATATATATATATATATATAATTATTATGGAATTAAAGGATTATCTCAATTCACGACAAAATATCTACAACTGACTTGCAATTTGAAATTATTTACATTAAATAAACTTCCAAATTACACTCGAATTTTTCATCAATTAAATCAAACATAAATGGAAAATTAGTTGAATAGGTATTTATTTTCTTATCAAGTAATACATTCAATATTTAAAAATAAACCTTCGATAAAATAATTCGGAAAATATAAATTATTGTCAACACAGGTTAGGCAACTTTGAATTATTCATATCTATAAGATTTAAAAAAAGAAATTATGTTGGGTTTAAAGTAAAAAAAGGTATAAAATTTTTTCTACATAACGTTATTTGCGATTTTTTTACGCTACAAATACGTTTATTGTTTATTTTTTATCATTAATTATGATTAATGATATATTATTTTAATGTTATTTGACATTTTTCGTTTTTCGTTTATTGATTTCGTTTATTTATTTTTATTTTTTTTCCGTTATGACGTTATATATAACGTTTTGAAGCCCTGTATTTAATATTAATTATTTTTCATTTGCTAAGAACAATTTCATTATGCGAAAAATTAATTACGAGATAAGATTCAATTTAAATATTTTTAGATATAATAATACCTATGTAATATATTTATTTTTATAGCTATAACACTTCAAAGAACTAAAAACATTAATGAAATTCAAAATAATTTAGTTATATAAAACGAATTATAATTTTAATGTCTTATAGAAGTGGATAGCTTTTTAGGGCGCAAAACACTTTATCTTTTCGAACACTTTTGATTCTCGTGAGTTCTCTTAGTATAGATTATAGTAAACATATTTCGAAATTATATCAGAACGATATTAATATTTATAAAATTTGTGTTTATTTCTCAAAATACCGTCGGAATTTAAACATTTTTTTGTCGATTCGATTTCCCCAGTAGACAAACAATTTCGTTTGTAATAACAGCATTATAATATAATATCAAAACAATAATTATTATTGATCTGTGACATCCAAATTAGTAAAAAATAAAAATAAAAATGTTAAATCCCAAATTATTCGGTGATAAACATGTAATCAAACGAATCTGACAGTCAGTTATTATTATTTGGTACTCAAAGAGTGGTTAACACCTTTTTTTAGGCTTCATCCAAATTGGGTTCCGAATTTAAAATTACTACACTATTTGGATCCCGAATTATTTTAAGTAATACACTAGATGGGTCCCGGATTTTTATAGGTACTACACTAGTTGGGTCCTGAATTGTTTTAGGTATACACTAGTTCCTGAATATTTTTATTAAGTACTACATTACACTAACATTTTCCTTCCCATTTTAACAGACCTAGGACTGTCTATGATCTATTTAGACTATAGGTATGGTCAAAAATGTATTTTATAGTTTTTTTTGTTTTGTTTTTTAGTTTTTTTTTCTATTAATTTTTATTTGCATTATATAATGATTTTAACATTTTTAATAATTTTTACCGAAAAAATTCGAATAATTTATATTTTAAAGGAAAAGAAACTAAAAAACAAAAAAGAAACTATAAAAAACATTTTTAACCATACCTGTTATCTAAATAGATCATAGACAGTTCTAAGTCTGTTAAAATGGGAAGGAAAATGTAAGTATAATGTAATACTTACCAAAAAATATTCTGGAACTAGTGTAATACCTAAAATAATTCAAGACCCAACTAGTGTAGTATCTATAAAAATTCGGGACCCAACTAGTGTAGTAGCTATAAAAATCTGGGACCCAACTAGTATACTACCTGCGATTAGCCCCTAGTACTCGAAACCCAACTTTGATGCTCCGTTTTTTTATGGTAGAAAAACTAAAAGACGATCGATACTCAGTCGTAAAACGGGGTCAAACAGTTATTTCTATTTACGGGAGACACAAGGCTGGAAAAAGGGATGTTCCCGTTTTAAATATTACAAAATGCGATGGTCACCATAGCACAAACGTTATACCGAGTACTTATACGGGAATATAAACGCTTAGATAATATCCATTACAATATATATATATATATATATTTAAAAAGAACCAATTTCACACATAAAATATTATAGCAACACGAAAGAGAATAATAACTATGGGAAAGATTCGCTGAAAAAAAATAAGTAAACGTTGAAGTGTAGTTTATATATATATATATATATTTATACATAGGCAAAGTGAGCAATTTAATGTAAATTACTAAAATAATTTGTAACGTCCAACGGTATTGTTATTATTATACTCGCGAGAACGTTTTTCGAGTATTGTACATATTTTATGTAGTTAAATAATAATTTATGTATCTATCTGTTAATGTATTTATATCGTTTAAACGGACCGCGGCGACAAGATTACGTGTCATATAAATACGATAACTGTACATACATATTACATAGTTACATAGTGTATCATTATAATATAATGTAGCCAGTGTTACCGTGAAAAATATTATAAAAAATGTATTGTGTCGAATGTACGAAAACATCTATTAAAAAATTATTACTTGAAATACTTTCGGTAAAAAGTGTTAAAGAACATAATTCGAACATCCAATGCACATGCTTAAAAATTGAAATTAGTTTTTTATTTTTCTATTATTTAATAAGATTTTCTAAATATTGACAATCTTGATTTGTTAACTTGATTAAATAAATTAATCACAAAAAATAATGAAACTAAAGATTTTATTATAAATTGTTAAATTTTCTTAAAACTTTATCATTAATCATTGGGCCTGTTTTCTTTCTTCTACAAAATATTTGAATTTTACCCACAATTGGACCGTTGATGGCATTATAAATACTTTCCAAATACTTGGTTGGATAATTATTACTTAAATACAAATACAATTAAATTATATACAATTTATATACAATTAAAACATTTCATTATTTTAAATACATATATTACTTACTTAATACTTACCTATTTAATACCTGTACTCAAATATTTTACAAATAAAATAGGGGATATAGAGATGTTTGATTAATATCATGAAAATCTGAATGATCACAAATATTTCATGTTTATTACTAATATGTTCTATTCGTTCATCAGTTATTTATTTACTATCATCATTATCAACATAATAAAAAAACTCATTTTATTGTTTTCCTATATCAACATCTCGTCTTAAATCTTAATTAATTAATTAAATTTCACTTTGGTAAATAATTACCACCCAAGGTAATTGCTTCACTCCTAGTCACATATTTCATCAACAAAAAGACATTTGTGACTTTCAACACATACTTTATGATTAAGTAAATTGTTTTTGTTCTTATTCCGCATGTGCATTAGCGTCTCCACTACAAACAAATCACTGTTTACTCCTCAACCATCATTATCACATTGTCCATTATTTGTATAATACTCGGTCTTTTATTATTCACATTTAAAAGTTGTGGTTATGTTAGAATTGTGGAAACACTTGTTCAAGAAAATGAACTAAAATAATGAGTAAAAATTTTTTGTCAATATGTATAAAAGGTATAATAACGGTTAAATAATTAAAACATTTAACGCGTTACAATGATAACATACCTACATAAGAAAAACAATGATTTTCAGTCTCACATTTTTTTTAAATAACATTCATTACCTACCTAACTTTCTTCAATACCAATAGAAAAATATTAAAGTAAGAATACTAACTAAATAAAAAAAATACTTTTCTATCATCGAAAAAGATATTTTATTATATTATGGAGATATTAAGTTAATTAAGGCGCGGATTCAGCCTACCATAACGGGAGAGGCGGATTATAAATAAGTATACTTTACGAGTCGGCTGGGGCTGGCCGGTTGACGGTTTTCGTCGATCATACGGTCACAATAATATTGTTTTTGTCGACTGTTCATTAATTTATGTTATAAAAATAAAAGACGAAAATGTGTGATAATAGCAATACATTAGAATTTTATTACGCAAGATAATGCAATTTATTAGTACATTAAATTAAATTAACAAATTTTGATACGGTCAATGGGAGGGGGGTGGTTGCCCCTACCCACCTGGATCCGCGCCTGAGTTAATCACAGCTAAGTTTATTTTTTACTACCTACATTACGAGCAGTGCCGCAATAACCGGGTGTGTTGCGTGTGTCAAACATACGGGCCCATGACTCTAGCTTATAATAGAGCCCAATGGTAATATTTTAAAAATATGTAGAAAGCAAGAGAAATAAACCATTTTGTAATAATAATTACTTATGAAGATTGAAAAATAATTGATTGATTTTGTTTTGTACACATTATACTATATTTGTATACAATTATTGTACATCAACTTTTTTTTTACAGTCTGTATAATCGATATTCAAAATAGTTTGGTTACAAATACGATACGATTTCTCTGCAGAGTCCGGATGCGGGGAAGGGCATTAATTTTACTTATACACGGGCTCAAGTTAGTGTAGCTATGGCACTGATTACGAGTATTCTAATTCATTTGCAACTCATCCATTGTATTTTATTATAATATTATTATGTGATGAAAATCCATTTTTCGTGGTTTTATAGATATTATACAGTATATTACGCATTTAGTCTGAATAAAAACTTCACTGAATTTTAGATTTGTTGTATTACGTTTTTGTATTATTATGAGAATTAAATTAATTTTCATGCGATGTTTTTATCAGTGGAATGTACGTAAAATATATAATAGGCACTCGTAACCAAAACAATATCTGTAATTATTTTAAAAACCACTGAATAAATACAGTTTTATAAAATTAAATGAAACTTGATTTAAGAAACATACAAAGTTTAGTTAAAAACGTAATTCTGAATAATTTAGCGACTAAAACAGGTCCAATAACCATTATAATAATTTTGATTTATCGACGAAATCCATTGAACAATTTGAAAAGTATTATTTTTAAAATTTTACTCTGGACGTTCTAAAGTCACAACGTGGAAACCTATACTGTACAGAAAAACTGGTGAACGATAAATATTCGTTACACCAAGTTCCATTAAAACTCTAAGCCCATACTCTTCCCTCTTTTATACAGCGTATGCGTTGTCGGTACACGTTACATCACTGTAATGAACCACAAAAACCCCACGCGGACGAACAGCATTTCGGAGGAATAAAGTTAAAGCTGCAGACGGGACTGTATTTCGGTAACCTAGAGTACACTACAAAAAAATTACGAAAGCTCGGTGGAACCGAACCACACGTCGTTTCGGGTACCTACCCGAGTCGTATTTGCGAATTATTTTTTCAGCACGTCACCGAAGTCCTTCTAAACAGCTGAACCGATTCTTATGAGATTTTGTGCGTCTAGTAGGTTTGGATCGGATTCACAATTCGATCCGATAGAAAATATTTTTCACTCACACAAATCAGGTTAACGGGGGGTTTTTTTTTTTTTCTAAACGTGATCAAACAGTAATCGAAACAGGTGCAAATGCCGTAAGAATGAATGTTGTGTGTCGGTTACCTGCCGAAAGAGTCCGCTCGGCGGATCGCTCCGTTGTGGCCGACCACGTTACAGTTGATCGGCTCGCACTTGGGCAGGCACGGCGTGACCAGCGCCTTGAACTGGACGATGTCCGAGGTGGGGAACTTGAACGCGTCGAACGGCGCCTCGAGTATTTTGACGGTGCCACCGGAGCCGGTGCTCACGGCCGATATGGGGCCCATGATGGCCGGGTCCGTGGGACAGCCGTCCCGGTCGATCAGCAGTATCTCGCTGGTGTCCACGCCGTCCAGGGCGATCAGCTCGCGCACGAATATCTCGTACGGCGACCGGTCGTCCAGTATGTGGAACCGCAGGCTCAGAGGGTCGCCCACCTGTGCCGCGTGTATATCGCCGCCCGCCCGGTTCGTGATCCGCATCATCACCGTCGGCGATATCACGAACGCCGTTTCCTCGGCGCCTCCATCGCCCTGTCCGTGACCCACGCCCAGCGGCTCCGACTCCGCGGACGCGCCGTCATCGTACTCCGGTTCCGCGGCCGGGGCCATGGCCAGCTCGATGCCCTGGCCCACGCTCCGGTTCTGCAGGTCGTACGTGCACCGCACCGACAGCCCGATGTCCTGGCCCGTGACGATCTGGTCATGGTGCTGCGAAACCAAGTTCCGGTCGGGTTAGACACGCGCGTTTCAAGTCGAGAGATAAGAGAGCTGCGCGGTGGGTCGCGACGCTTTCGTTCGCACACGCCCAGCGAACGCGTCTACACGTGTGTTATTGGAACTTTGGAACCGAGTGGTTTGCAAAATGTTACGTCGGATTTTATAGCGTTTATTGCTAATTGTTATGGGACACGGATGAAAACAGCGAAGTGAGATGTACATTTGTTTTATTTTGCATCAGGGATTTCAGAAATTAAATTTCAAGTCGCTATTTTTTTTTTTTGCATATTTGAAGTGTTTCAAATTTTTTAGTACTACTTCCGAAGTCTTGGTACTATCTTTCATTAATACGCACATCAATAACTGATGCTTTATTTTTATTTTTCATAAATATTGTTTATGTGCAATGAAAAATAATATTCATTTATGTAAGATAATAAAAATTCTTAAATTTTTGTTTTTTGTCAATAATTTTTTTTTTAAACTGTTCAAATATTAATTTTTAATTAAAATTTTAATTTATTTTTATAAAATAATATTATAGATATTAATTCAAAAGATAAAATAAACTGTCAGTAAAAGATAATAAATTAAATTTTGATTGGCATTTATTTATTTTTTTTTTTTTGTTACTATTTTTTATGGTTTTAGGGCATATTTTAAGAGTTTCCGGTCATATTATAATGCAAAATTCAGTATTTTTCAATGCTATAAAATCCCAACACTGGTTACGTAATATTCAAAACGGTATAGAAGTGTTCGGTATAAAAATGGGTCCGACTCGATGTTTTCGCGCGACTTAAGATAATTTCATGAGATAATGAAAATTATCATATTTTTTTTTTTTTTTTTGGTACGACTCACATATAAAGTTAAGGATTGCAAACCAATGATAATTTAATAACTTTCTTCTGTAATATTGACTTTTTAACTTTTTATTTTCATCCTTCTAGTGATTTTTAATATTTTTTTCGGTTTACAAACAAATAATGTAATTATTAAACATAATTTACGCGTTATTTATTTTTAACCAAAACAAAAATGTTATCATCATATGAACATCTGTGTAGCCCTTTTCCCGGCGAGGCACACCAATCACAGAATTTGAATGTTTTCATCATCTCGAAAGATAAAGGTTACATTTTCGTAGGGCACTATATACGGAAATACAATCGCGGAAAACATGTTTGTACACACAAGAAGCAGGGCTGCCGGAACCATGGCGTACTTTGCGGGCAAAGTATTGACCATGTTAAATATTCCGCGACGATGTACACATGAGTGTACAGTTGTATGGTAGTAATAAGTCGGAAGGAATGCGGAAAATGCAAGCCGGAAAACAATACGAACGTATAATAATACTATTATTGTTGGCCGATCGGTCGGACGAAGCGAAAAAATAAATATAGCCATTCGTTCCGCGGTCGGACGACGGTACGCCGCGAACAAAACCTGTGCCACGCGTCGGGTTGGCGACGGACCGGTAAAAATGGAAAGCCAACAAAGGAAAAACGAAAAAATTAAGGTCGTATTATTCCCGTGGCTGTTGCCGTTGCGCGCGCGCCGATGCTAACGCGTCGTTCTAACCTGGATGATGATTTCGGTGAAGAACTTGCCCGGATGATCCTGCCGGACGTCGCAGTCGGCGCCGTGGTAGTCCAGGTGCAGGTCAAAGTCGAGCGTGTTCTTCACGTCGTTGACGCAGGAGTTGGGCCTGTTCTTGGCGTACACCTTGCCGTCGAACAGCCGGTTGGTGTGCACGGACGCGACCATGTCCGTGCCGCGGCAGTCGATCTTTACGCTGAAGCACGACGACATTTGGTACGTGGTGGCGCCCGCCACGGCCATGTACGGCTGTTCCAGCTGCGACAGGCTGGACATGCTGTGGTGCGAGATGCGGCACACGTTCACGCCCGTCTCGTTATAGTCAAACGACCGGCACTGGAACTCCTCGGCCGCCAGGCACATCTCCTTGCACCGGTCCATGGTGGCCACGTTCTCGAATATCGCGTCCACCGTCCGCAGCAACTTGCCGTCCAGCTCCGTGAAGTCGCACATCCGCGGCTGTTCCACCACGCAGTTCGACTCCATGTAGTCCACTGTGCTCGCGGACCGATTGTTGATCGACGGCCGCCCGGACACGGTGAACCGATCCACGTCGTTCACGTGGCAATCGCCCGTCTCCTTGTTGAAGTTGATCGACCTGCGTAGTAAGACAAAAAATTATAAACGATCGAAGCGTTTGTACGGTGTACGCAAGAGAAAGCGAACCCGGGAGGTTCGGTTTTACCAGTGTTAATTTATATGTTAACAAAAATAAGAGACTTTAAAGCAGACCTACGCAGTTTGAGATTTAAACGAAAAACTAAGAAACTTGGTTTTTCTATTTTTCGTCTAGGAAACTCGGACATCAAAATGAATTGAATAAGTTCATCACTTCTTAACGGCGCATTGCGTCCGAGAGGATTACGTGGTGATTTGTCTTTGATACACAAGCTTGAAAACCAGATGAAAACGAAAAAAAAAACAACCGAATACAAACTCTGTTGTAATAATAATATTGTTAAAACCCGCGCTCCTAAAATGTATCGTATTATACAACCTCGAAAACTCGAATTATTGTTCTGCATAAGAAAGATCACTGAAAAAACTATTCAATTCGTCTATCTACAAGTGCGATCATTACATAATTTATTCATTGCACATCCGCCTTGAACATTATTATCGAATCGATAAACGCCCAGGTATTCGTCCATTACGTCGCGGTGGTTTCGTGCAGTTGTTCGGGTATGTTTTCTTTATAGCGGACCGCAGAGTGTATGGGTTATTGACTGACATGTCAATCAGACACTCGAGACGTCACGGATCACCGAGCTCGGCTAGCTGCAGGATGCAGACTCCGGTTACTGTCCTGCGCGCCGCGGCAAAAGGAAGACCACTATTATCATAGCCCATTGGGTTTCGAGTATAATTGACTCGCGTTTGCGTTTCAAAGTAATAATCGCGTCAAACGATTTAAGTGTATGCTATTTTATTGACTCTCGCGTTGTTATTATTATTGTACGTTATTTATACGTATTTTAATCGTGATCCGACAACGACGTGTACAGGTATTCAACGTTCGGACTTTCAGAGCAGAGGTATAGCACGTGATAGTATAGGTCAGGTTAGGTACACGTGCACGCTATGCTGTTAAATTGTAACAAACGTCACTTGATGCCTTCTAACTCGTGGCCATCACAACTCTATCAAACTGATCTGATAATAATACGTAAACGAGAGTTAATTGTTTTAATTCGTGTACGGTGAATTACATAAATTATATGTTATTAAAAGCATATGGAGTACTCTTGTCTAGAAGTCGTTTTGATTTGAATTTATAACCTGAAACAACAGACGGCTCACAATAGACTTGATATATTCTTAGTCGTTGCATCTTGAATATATAAGAAGTTTATGGAATTATATAACTTAAATTTTAGACTCCGAGTGAAATTTTTTTATTTAATAACTGTTCAAACAAGTTCATTGTTTTTTTTTTTTTTGATTTGCCTTTGTTCGCACATTACAACAGAGCGGTTACATAAAGTTCAATTTTCTATCATTAAATGTTCTGTTATGTATTTGTAAATCTACAACTTTAATTACTTCCACTCATTTACCTCGTTTGATTATAGATTGAGAACCGCGTTATACCTACTTAGAGAAGTCATTTTTCGACTTTCACAAACATGCGTTTAGCCATTTAAATACTAATATTGACTTAAAATTGTTTTTTTAATATAAATATAATGTTGATTATTTAATCGTATGATCAATTTATGATTATAAATTATCTTCAGAACTATGTAGGTACGTTAATCGGTCCGAAGAAGAAAGATGTCACGCAAATTTCTGCAATAAAAATCGGGAAAAATCGATAATCATTAGCTTTATTTATATAGAAATGTATTATACATTGCCGTACTTCCAACCGGAAAAGTATTATACTTGTTCATAGACTGAGATTACAGTTTACACAATGCGTAAGTGTAAGGTAAATAAATTACTTTTCTGTACTTGCCCAAACATAATAATGTACAAACGTTAATTTCCTTTTTACACTTCCGCATCTACAAAGAACCACTCTAAACTTTAATCTGAATTCTCAGTAGTATCTATGTAATTTGATGGTGTGCATAACAAGAAGCAAGATTATGAGAAAAAAAAATCGGACACAAATGAATACGTTCATATTCAATTGTTTCATAATAATGTATTCATTTAATAATTGTTGTAGATACCAAGAATTTTCCAAACCGAATAAATTATTCTAATTGTTGGTTTAATATTATGTATATTTTTATGACAAGTTGGTAAACACCCAAGCAATGATGTGATTATGCAATCATTAAATATTAAACTGCTACCATTAATTTATCCACGGACTGCCGCGGGGAATCTGGTAATTAGCGGTTAGGGAAATGTATTACCTGCACGTACGATTGATCTATAATTTAATTGTATTTGTGAAACTTGCCTACACTGGAAACTCTTTTCATTCAGACACTTGTCCATACATCCAGCCCGAGTGATTGCTTTGTAGTGCTGTTTAGACGAAACTTTCAGTTCACCGTGTATCGTATCAAAACTCCACGACCGTTGGTTGCACGCCTTTGGTGCCCGAACACATATTTTTCGAGCAACCGTTGTGGTGTGAGTTGGATACTGCGATCGTTTCAACGGAAAGTCTGAAAATTGAACATAAATTCATCATGTTTCGTACTTATTTTGGCTATTATAACATAGTAGTATATTAAAATATTATGAACAACATACATTTTTTAAAATTATAAACGAAAAGTTATATTTTTTTTTAACAAATTTTTAACAAAACGTTTTTGAGATGTTAAATTTCATATAGACACATCAGAAAATCAAAATAAATAGTTTTGAAAAATGCAAGTTTTTTATTCAGATATGTAAAGATATATTTTACGTAAACAACTTTTAAGATTTGATAAATTATAAATTATTTTTCCATCTTAATAGCAATTATTTTTTGTTTTTACATATCTAACGATATTTCATGTTGATCCGTCCAAATACTAGAAAATAAGTTCATTAATTTTAGGAAAATATAATTTAGGAATTGAATATTAATTTGATTAAATTAGTTTATATCAGTTATGTATTTGATAGTTTATTTAGTAAGTATTTAGTATTCGTCCGGCATACAATTTAGAAACGTAAAAATAATTAAATTATGTGCCTTATACACCAATAACATTAAAACTTCATAACAAAATGATATTATATATGTACCAAAAAATAACCGTGATTTGTTTGGTTCAAAAACATAGTGTCAGTTCATGGTTCGGGTTCACCGCGTAATATTAAGAATATTATGTGGCCAATAGAAATGAATACAACATAACTATTCGAAGCAATTAAAACCACACCGAGTGCAATGGTCGGAGATGTTTGAAGAGGACTTGATCTCATATAAATTTACGATTTTTCATTCATAATAATTAACAAATATTGAAATAAATATCATTATACTTAGTTTTTTCTCATTTTTCCTTGGCATTTTATGTTGGATTTTCGTAACCAGTTCCGCAGAATGTGTATTACACTTTATTCGCGCCACTATACCTATAGTTGGAATGATCGCCATGAAATACTATGATACTAGCTTACCTAACCAATTAAAAAGTAGTATAAAAGAACTGAAACAATTGTAGTCAATTAACCTACAACTAATTGGCAGAAAAAATATTTCCAAAATTATATTTCGAAGGTTTTGATTTAATCTTACAAATTGTTTGCGAATTCCAAAACATCACGTTTTTACTTTCAGAATTGGTACTCGTATTTGTTTCTCTTTAGTAAATCGACCACCGATGTAATTTTTTTTTTTTTTATCAATAATTGTTATTATTATAATACACATAAATTCATTAGTTAATAATTATTTCATAAATCAAAATAGAATTAGAAAAAAAGGTGCCTAAATTATTTTTCGACATTTTTTATTTAATTTTGTGAAATATTGGTTAGTTTAAGAAAAATTTTCCATCTTACGACCAAAATACTCATACGTGTTTCAAATAAAACAGCCAATGTAAATTGTTCCATTTTTTTCAATAGTAATTACTGTTAAAATTTCATATTTTCAATGAAGTGATTTTTTTTTTATACATTTATTAAAACAAAAAATTGGAGAAAGCGGTATTATTTGTACAGATTTTTTTCCCGTTTCGTCAAAAAATAAACAACACAATATAAGAATAATATTTAGAACAAACCGGTGTATTTTTATTACGCTCATTATTTTCGAACGAATGAATTGATTTTGACAGTTTAATGGGTATCGGTAATACTTCATATCGTAAGTGTGTTGAAAAAAAAAACGAAAGTAATTTATTGAGTATCAAGCGTGAAATATGAATTTCTGACCATGATCGATATGATCTATAATAATTCTCATCGAAAAAATTATCACGAAAGAAAAAATATTAATCGAAGTATGATGTTATTGCGCGGTATGGAACGATTCTCACGTAGTTTGACCAGTTAAACGGTCTGCTTTTGGCTTTTCTCAGGACTCAGATAGGTGTTTTGCTTCCAGTGCAAATAAATGTAATACAATATTAAAACAATGAGATGCAAGAAAACTGTACGCCTTACGGTATTATTGTTTTTCATTTACACGGCTAATGCATTTGGATTTGCATGCATCGGAAACAAAGAGCGCAAATTCGTTTCGAATCCATTAATTAATTATACAGTCACTACATAGTATCTAATAGTTATTGCCTCGCTTCAACAGTAGTTTAAATCCGTACATAATTCATGCCACTTAACTGTTGGCCGAAAAAAATTGATCCAATAATAAATGTTTATTTACAGACCAATGATAGTCGTTTAATTACGTTTATAAATTAAAAAGTTATAATTGTGTGCTCTATATTCTTAAAAGTATTAACAATATTAAATTTTAATTTTTTTTTTCACTCTCTATTATACCGAAAGACGGTTTATGATCACTGATGTGGCACATAGACAACCCAAATAATTGAATTTCATACTATTCACTGTCGTGTCATCGTGTAACGCTATATATATGTTCGGTCCGATGTGATATACATAATGCGCATTAGACGCCGCTCAGTCATGAGATTAAAAAATAAAACTACTGAAAAATTATTCGTGCTCCTTTCTTTTCTTTCTTTTATTTAATTTTTATTTCAATAACACTAATACTGTTTTTGTATTTTGATCAAAAGATGATTTTTTATTTTCCAATAATTATTATTCTTAATTGGAAAGTACAAAATTCAAATAAACAATCTCAACATCAAAATAGAAAATTATAATAGTACCTATAACATTTATTCGCAAAATGTTTAAAACACAATTTAAATGAAAAGTAATATACGAGTAAGCAATAGGAGGCATCTATTCAAACAATTATCGAATGACTTTTTTTTACACACTATTTGATTTGAAAAATGCCAATTTCGCAGCAAATCAAGGAACATTATTCATTTTTTATACAAATAAAAGAAAAAATGTTGATGTATTTTATTCTCTTGGTTATCAGGACACTATGGACTAGCCTTTCATTCTCATTAATATTTATTAGCCATAACTATATTTTATAGCTCCGTTATAACCCTTAAGAACTTGGAACTTCAAAACATTATTTAACAGATTTAATACAAAACTCAACATACAACGGTGACAATGTTATCTCGTTATGTTTATTTTGCGCACGTATAACCAAATATTATTATATAATTAAACGATCGTTGTTATTGCGTTTGTTATTTTTGTATTAACCCAATACTTATTTAAGTACAATTTAATTCGAGACTGATGAATAAACGACGATTGAAGTGTGCTCAACCGTATTGTTAATCTGCGCATTAAAAATAAACGTATGTACAATGGTACATAAAGAAGTATGGGAATAATAAGTGAATTTATTTACAATATTATAGGCATTAACTGTTAAGCGAAAAAGGTAAAAAAAAACTTTCTACATTTAAATGTCAGACCTTCGTGCAAATCACTTCCTGCAATATACTGTGCATTCGGTTTCTGTATGATGCGACACTTACATTATTGGCATAATGTCGAGGGATATTTATTTTGTATCCTTTAAGTCGAGATGAAAGAAACATTGACTTATACACTTATTTTATAACACTTTTCACTGAATATTTTTCACAACGTATCACATTTTACAATTCCTATATTCTGAAATCCGATGGAGATAATTTGCATATAGGTTTACAATGTGTGTGTATGTATATATATAATATGTATAAGTGTATAAATATAGCAGCAGTATGGCATTTTATTTATTTACTTTTTTTTTTTTTTGTACGCAGTACCGTAACTCATAGATCAATATCGTTTGTTAGTGTACCATTATTTAAACCGGACTTTGGTAAAGATTTGTACTTATTTTCTTTGAACCTATTGAAAAGTGGTTTTATTTTAATCGAATTTCATTATGTTAAATCGCACGTACTCAATGTTTTATTCAACTTCGCGGGATTAGTTTCTATTATTGTGCGTGCGGAACTTTCGAAGACAATATTCGCCTTCGGCAGGATGGCCCGAACAATTAATTGCGAAATCATGTCAATAAATAACTAGAACAACTCTTATCGCCCATCGGATAAATCCATTCGAAAGTGTATGTCCCGTGCTCTGGTCTGATAGCTTATCAATCGCATGTGTTCATAGTAATTTATTTGTATCCGATAAAGTATAATGCTGGGCGGATGGGCAGTATAATATGGGAAATTCTTTTGATCGCGTGCCACACAGCCAGTGCCCATACGAAATATTACCAGACAATTGATAATGTGTAATGACGAAGCATATATATTTTTGTACGAGTATTGTGTATAACTAGGTACCCGCCGGTCAGATAATAGTCACATTGAATTTCTTTTTTGCAGAATAATGGAAATTTCTCATCGACTACTCAACGACCGTCCGATAGTGACGTTCATTCAAATGACAATATGCCTGTTTTTAATAATATTAATGATTTAGGAATACTCACACACATAACTGCTTTATGCGTGTTATGCTTACATTGTTTATGCAAACACACACACACACGAAATCATATTATGCACACCGGCTGACGACGACTGTTTTATTGCAACTTTTACATAAAATATTTGATTTACAAACGTATCTTTGAACGTGTTCATCTATCATATCGTACATAAAGGGTGATGTTATTCAACGTCAAAAAATCGTTTTCTCCATCAATCCGTGTTAATGAAAAATAAAAATAAAATCAATTCATAATACGAATAGCCAAGAATATTTGTGCGCAAAATAAATACCAATATTAAAAAAAAAAATTTTCTCGTATAATAATATTTAAATTTACGTATATACACTTTCATGTACAATAAATATGGATGGTACACGATTTTAATTTTATACTTCGAAGTGGAATATAAATAAGAAATTCTCGATACATAAAAATGATTATGCTAATAATTTGTGAACGAGTATTCGAGTGTAAAACATCGTGTAATACTTCTCCGCTCATCAAGACTTTATAGATACTTGTAGTTGATTAGTCACTAATTAACAACTGGTTTGACTATTATACTAAGATATTTTTAGAAAATTTATTTTAAAATCTATAAGGCTATTAAAAAAAAGAAAGTTAACTTTAAATACAGTTTACAACTTCGGTTTCGTGCAA